GTACAACGTAGCTTAGCGGTTACAGCGCTATCTTGTTTTGCGTCACCGCCGGTTCGAATCTTCCCCCCGCCAATAATGCATACTTGGTTATACGTGAAGAAGGGCGCCTCACTTCGAAGTCCACCGCAAGTATGGTTATTCAGTAACTAGGAAAAGCTCCATATGCCACTAATTATAAAGATATGACTTGAAAATACTTCCTCTACAAAAACAGTGGCTGAAGTCCGGACGGGGTTACAGGCCTTTATGAGTGCGGACTACGCACCAGGGCATCGAGGCTGGTCACAGTCCGGACATGGGACCAGGCATGATATCCTATGTCCGATCCGAATCCGGACCCAGGACTAGCCCCTATCTACTGTTTGCTCAGACCTCGCTGGCGAGTCCGGACTTTGGACCAGGCTTTTTTCCCCATTAGGAAGGTCTATCCGGACTTTGGACCAGGCCTCGTGTCCCAAATAGGAAGGTGCTATCCGGACTTTGGACCAGGCCTATACCGGGATATTCGGGGGTCCTATCGTACTTTCTACCCGGACTCCGATCTAGATCTGTACACTCATCCAGGCCACACCATCGAGGTATTGGACTACCTCACTAAGGTCGAAGGTTATCGTTATCGGCAGGCCCCCGACCGTGCAGCTGACTATCGCCAAGCTGTCCCGGAGTGGAATCCGTGCAACCGTTTCGCACCACGACCTCGATTTGGCCAAGCTCATGGAGGCGAGTACGATGGGATGGATAGCCTCGGCGAGATCATCACATTGGTCAAAGTCCCAGCTGACGCGAGTCAGTCCCACCTCAAAATTCAGGTCATGGAGGCGCAAATAAGCCCCTTTACTGCTATCCTCTCCTTTCATTCGAGTACGTGTTATATGTGTAAAGTCGGATTTGCTGACGCCCGATGATTTTCCTATAACATTAGCTTGTGTCATGAACCTCATCGCGTTTGACTGCGCATACTCGCTGTACCCCATCGCGACATTTGGCACTCGAGAGACATTACTCACGAGGGAGAATGTCGACAGCACCCTCGTGAGCAAGTATCGCCGCAGAGGGTGGAAACCTCAATGGCCGAACTTGCTAGCCTACTCCGCCAGCTCTCGTGGCGACGAATGGTCCCCTGAAACAGTTAGATCGCTTCTAGACTCTCACACATGGAGAGTCCCACTCGACGTCACCGGCGTGGAACCTCGCGCCCCTCCTTCTCCCAAGTCGCCCTCTATGTCCTGGGACCCCGTCGTCGCAAACAGCTGGAAGTTCACGATGACGATCAGCAGCCACAACTTTAGCAACCTCTGGACTCACTGCTACTGCTCGGTGGTAATACAGTCGACCGCTTTCCGTTACAACTATGTCACTGCCGACCACAAAGTTTCAGCTCAATTATACACGTCTGCACACGATTTACAATCCGCCAGCGCAGTATCTGAGTGGCGTGGCCCTCATGCTGTCTTGAGATTACCTAAACCGGCGGAAGAATGGGAATGGCAAGCTATCCTGTATACTTGCTATCGCGTTAAGAGTCACTGATCATCCATCTTGTAGGCTTGACGCGGACTTTCCAGTCCAATGCAGAGACGCAGCCGAGAGGGTTTCGTCGTCATCGCAGCCGTCTCCACTCGTCGAGATAATGGACAGCTTGGTCCCCGAAGGATCACGTACGTAGTCAACCGCATCATCGTGATCGTTTCCTGCACTGATGACATGCTTTGTCCCGTTGAAAGGTAGATTGAGGTCGGATTCGGTGACGAGCACCTCGACGTCTGCCATACTGACAAGCAACCCCATACATCGACCACCGCAGCAGGACGTCGCACGTGCGCTACCACGCCTTAGGGGTTTGTTCAGATAATATGTTGTGTTAACGCTGTTCCTCTCTTCCCTTCTCGATCTTCCCGCTATTCTATGCTTCGCTTGCCACGCACGCGCCCTCGCCAACGTACGGGCTCTTGGCTATAACACTTTCTCCGATTCTAGAACCCCCACTACACTGATATTAGATAAAGACATTAGAAGTTGTCTACCATCGGGTCTGTCCCCAGAGGACAATAAATCCGGATTTTGATGCTGATGATAATGAGCGTTGTTCCGCTGTCTACTTTGAATATCGATCCGTGACTTATTATCCGAGAACTCATGAATTACATACTGGAACGGAAGTCGCACATAAAATACATGTACAATGTACAATACAGAAAACAGTCTACAAACACGAAAACAATGCACAAAACAAAACACAAACCCCAACACCCTAGATATAAAACATCGACCCCCTCAAATCCGGATGCACCCCGTTCCCCCACAGCCTCTCCGCCCTCTCAAACACCCTCTGCTCCTCCGCCTCCTTCTCCTGCTGGTTCCGCGGGCGCCTCGGCGCCCCGCTCGTCGACCCGCCCGCGCTCGACTGCTGCTCGTCCGCGTTGAGCAAGTCGTTCAGATAGCACCGCCCGCGCTCGCACGCGAGGTCCGCGTAGTACGCCGCGGGCACGAGGCTCACGGCCTTGGTCGCGCGCGCGTACAGGTACGAGTAGGTGTGCGTGCCCTGCTGGATCTCGTTTGCGCCGAGCTTGTTCTCGTCGTAGATGACGGTGTAGTGCGTGGGTTTCACGGTGCCTTGTAGACCGGCGTGTGCTTGGAGGTAGAAATCGAAGTCGTACCTGGAATCACAAAAAGTAAGTCAACGACGAGAAGGAAAGGCACGGCGAAGGGAAGAGAAGAGATAAGGAGAGCAAACGTACACAGTGGTGACGCCCTGGTCAACGATAGTCCCCGGTTGAGTGTTGCCGTTCTTATCAGCATGCCGGGAGTCGGTGGGATAGAAGCGCGCGTGATGGCGCTTGCCGCAGACGATGATCGTGAGTTTCGGTTTATACGCCTGCGCTTTGGCACCAGCGAGTGTGCCGGTGCCGACCTTCTTGAACGCCTCTTGGACTTTAGGCAGTTCTTGCACAAGGACACTATCGAATTGGCCCTGGAATAGGATGATGCATGAGATAGAGCTACAAATAAGATAAGATAGGACACATACCTCCGAAACGCCATCGCGATAGAGATAAATGCGGTCCGGGAGCGTCTTGTTCTTACCCTGATACGCTACCAGCCTCTCGACCATCATCTCTGTAAGATCCGTGATCATCTACAACACCACACAGTAATCAGTCCCCCATCCCCATCGAAACCAACCAAACCAAAAAGGCTCACCTCCTTCTTACTCTGCTGAATCCGCATACTCGCCGGAAACTGCACAAACTGCTCGTCCACATTCGCCACCACCGCCGCAATCGACGGCGTCCCCGCCATACTCCCCGGGCTCGGATGCGTCACATCCATACCGACAATCATAATCCGCCGCTTCTGCTCCGTGAGCCAGCGCATGCTCTCCGCGTCGAGCAGATGGTTCACGCCGCCGAGCTTCGCGTTCAGCTTGAGCGCCACGTTCGAGAAGTACTGGTCCTGCTTGTTCATGTCCTCCGGCCACCCGCGCAGCACCTTGTCCGTGAGCATGTGCATCGTGTGCACGCCGAGCTGCACGTCGCATAGTCGCTTGATCCCCGGGTAGATGAACTTGTCGACGCCGGAGAGGAGGACGAGGATGTAGGTGGGCTTGCCGCTTTTGCTGATGTTGCTCTGGATCTTGTTCTCGATCATCGACATCGCGCGAGCGCGCCCGGGGTCACTGCCGGGCGGGGGGAGCTGGTCCGTCGCAATGAGAGTGGGCGACGTCTGGAGTCTGACGCCGCTCTTGCGCAGCTTCTCGCCGAAGCCGCGCCATATCGCCGTGAGCGCCTGGTCGTTTGGCCCCTGGAAGACCGGTCGCTGGTCGTTCACGACGAGAACCCACCACGACCTGACGTCGGCGCCCTTGTGGAACTTGACCTCGAGAATGTTCCACGCACCGTTCTTCGCGAAGAGCGGCTTCCCACCCGAGTAGCTCAACTTCGGAGGGGGCAGCTCGCGTCCGGGAACGGTCGCCATGTCGCCAACCACCGAGAGGCCGAACGCGCGGGCGGGGTCACCGAACGTGTCGGGTGTGAAGCCAAGGGAGGGGAAGCCCTCGTTGACGATGGACGTCGCGTTCTCGATGGGGCGACGGCACGCGTAGCGGATCATCGACGCCGTCTCCTTGTCGGAGAGCTTGCCGTACATCTGGCCCGGCTCGATCTCACACAACTCGGCGGGAACGATGATCGCGTTGCGTGAGTTTGGGCCAGAGATATCGACGACGGGGAGATCATTGGCATTGCGCAAGGTGATCTTGTACTCTTAAAGTTACATCAGCCAAAGGCGCAAACACAATGTCATCAGAAAACTCACTCCGCTTGAAGTAATCCTCGACAGAAATCTGACCGCCGCCATACTCATCGCACTGGAACTTGTACGTCCGCGCCGTCGCGCTCAAAATGCGTCTGACCGGCTTGCGCTGTTTATAGCCCAGATGGGTTGTGGTAACCGACAGCCTCTGCGTGAATCGCGCCGGAATGCCGCCTCTCGACTCCCGCCTGAACTCCATGATGGCATCGGAGAGTTTGCCAGGCTTATAGAACGCCGACATGCAGGCGTTGACGTTGATCATCATCTCTTTGTAGACGGGCCGGACCGAAACGAAGAAGCCCTTCCACGCCTCAACGCCCGGGCCGAGGGGGAACCGATCGAGGGTAGGGAAGAAGTACTTGCTGGCTGTGCTAGCTTTGTCCTGCCCAGCACCGACGCGGAATCCGCTGTGAGCAGCTTTGTATTGGAGGATGAGGTTGAGAGCGGAGATGAGGGGAAGTGGATCATAGTCGCGGTATTCCTGGCCACCCTCGGTATATCTGCAAACATCAACATGAGATCATGGGGAGAGATAAGAACGGGACATACTTGTTAATCTGCGACATGTCGAGCTCCCGCGTGAACTCGATAGATACAGTGTACACCTTTGCTCGCGGATCTGGCTGAGTACGACCTTCGTCGACAAACGTGATCGGAATGTCGAGGGGCTGCGGGAACTTCTTCGCCGACACGAGGCGCGCGCTCCTATCGTGAGCGACGACGTTGACATACGGGCGCCACTGTTGGTTAGTGCTGGCTTCGAGCAGCTGGAAGATGCGATTCCTCGTCTTCCGTCCGCCAGGATCAGGCGAGATCTTGATGCTGTAGTCAAAGATGGTGCCCTTCGGGACCTTGACAGGGAAGAAGTTGGAGCGCAGAGTGATGCGGGTACCGAGGGTGCCAAATCCGGGTCGATACGGCCGCTCAGCGCGGAAGGGTAGCTTCTTGAGCGTCCCTTCGAGCTGAGCGGTGGTAGCCAACCGTTGGTCCTCGGTCGCGGGTCGGTCCTGTTGGAAGATGATCGGACCCCCGCCGCGGGCAGGGCCGCCGCCACGGTAACCACCGCCACCCCCGCCCCTCCCGCCCCCGCCGTAGCCACCGCCTCCGCCGCCTCCGCCCCTAGGGCCACCTGCAGGCCCGCCTCTTCCTCCTCGCCCGCCCCTAGACTCACCACCGCCACGTGGCCCACCTCTTGCGCCACGGTTGCTCATGCTGATGTGTTGTGTGTGTGTATGTTGAAAGGGGGAAGAAAAGAGAGATGGGGGACAGGGAGCGAAGACCACAGATCTATAGGGAATTTGAGGGTTACGTGGCGCACGGCATGAGTCTCAGGTCCAGGTGCAGCCACCAACTCTATTGTTGGCATTCAAACTCCTATGGGCGCCCGTGTCGAGCTGAATCGGCGAATAAGATTCCACACACCAGCTGCGTAATCTACAGCAAGGGTCAGCTCACACCATTTGCAGGGCTTTGTCCTTCTAAAACCACGCCGATAAAACATGCGGTGTACGTATGGTGCGTGAGTCGGACAACAGACCATGCTGGGCGATGCGGTGAAGATTCAAACCTTCCGAGCCAACTATGCGGTAATCACCGACCCTGTTTCCCACGCATTTAATAAGGACGCTCTCTTATTCGAGTACTTTAACATGGGTCGAAGTATTAATTCGACAGACTCCATCTAACCTCCCCGACAAGATGCTCACCATCCAATACTGGGTCTCGCCCATGAATAAAATATTGAATGCGTGCGTACCCGTTTCGCATACATGCGTACCTCTTCAAAAGCATGCACTTTACACGTAACAGTGAGACTGGCATAGTTCCAGGCCATCTGAGCGTCGCAATCCACTTTCGCTCACGTAACTCTGAAGCCAGAAAACTAAAGTTTGAGGGGCCATAATTTGAGTTTTCTGCGTGGGAGTTAACGCGATGTCCTGGATGAGCGAAAAATCTTCCGTTCTCGCAATGAGGCCAAAGAAGGTAAGCGATAGCTCTAATACGTAAATGCAACATATGGAGCATACCAAGAAGAAGTTAGGCCTGAGGCGTTCCCAGTGATCATGATGTGTCATAAATTTGAGAATGAAGGGAAGTATGTAATCTCCAATGTGCAGGAAAAGAGCTTGCAGCGGAGATTTAGCAGGAGATGAAAACACAGGCAGCGTTGAACGTTGCTGACGATTACTGGGTTAGACCGCTCGTTTGACGAGTGTCTTCCTAATCCTACGTATCATGAATCATTTATCGAAGAAATATGCTCTTGATAAAGTACCTCTGCACATTTCGAAGTCCTAACATGACGAAGCTCCCGAAAGAGCTGGAATCCATCAAACAGCAACACGCGTTACCTTCAACGTCACCGGCTCCCCATCCTCTCCGAAGATAACTCTCGCGGGAAGAACCCTTCCGCGCTTGATCTTCACATCGTGCGCGTTTCCGCCCTCGATCTCAAACGTAAAATAGCGAGCCTTCGAGAGCCATCTCTTCGCTGATGTTGAGTCGATCTACAGGAGCTTGGAGTTGTTCGTTCATGCGCGCTGCGAGAGCTGCACGAATAGAACCATTACTGAGATGTCCTTCTCGTCCAGAGATGAGAGCGTTAGTGCGGCAGATGTGATTAGCCCACTCTCGGAACGGACGATTTTCTTGGAAGGACTTCCCAATACGACGAGTAATCTTCATGACCCAGTTGGGTTCCAGCCAACGGTCCCTGAGCTTCGTGAAAAAATCCACGACAGAGAGTTCTTTGAGAGTGACGCGATTGGTAGTGATCCAGTCCGAAACCTGACGATCTTGGAAAGCGTACATGGCGTAGGAGATGTGTCTGGCATCAGCGACATCCTTCATATGGTAGAAGCGATCGAGAGCGTCCTCGAGATCCTGCACAGTCTCGGGCGTGAGATCGCCAGCCGTAAGGACAGGAGGTTTGGTGGGAGCGGCCTGTACGACGGAAGCTTTGGCCATGATGGAAGGAATCGAGAGAGGAGGGGGAGGATAGTCGTCAGAGGAGGAATCGCTAGAGAAGGACAGGTCGGTGGAAACGGGAAGTGCAAGAGGCTCGTCTTCCTCAACAAGAGGAGTGAGCGGGGAAGGGTGATGGTCGTTGTCGATGCTAGAGCGGTCGAACAAGGACGGGAGCGAGATGCCGAGTTCACGAGCACGTCGGCGAGTGACACGACCAGGAACCGGACTGAGAGACAGGATGACTAGGACAGGATGGACGCAGGAGCGTCACAGGACTAGGGAGCTAGGGGAGCTAGGGAAAAAAACAAGGTTTCGACACAGAAGCGTCGACAAGACCAGGGAGCGAGGTGCTCGTCTAGAAGACGAAGGATAGAGTGAAAAGAGGATAGTGTACTGTTCGGATGAACGGTATGCGCACCAAGGATACTCAAAAAAAAGTGGAACCCTGCCCGAGGCGGGGAACACTAAGGTTCGGACGGAAACTGAGTAGAACGATGCGTATGATTCGTGAGGTGACGCAGGGAGGTACAAGAGTAGGTAGGAGGGGATTCTAAGGTAGCTATCGTGAAGGAGTTCGTTTTATACGTATGAGCAGATGAATAGCAAGGGCGCGGAATCGAGTAAGAGAGAAATCCAAGGGAATCGTAAAGAAGACGAAGTCTTCTTCGAAGCAAACATAATCATAAAAATAGAACGGAAGCAGAATAGTAGTCCCAAAGGAAATGGGAATAGGAACGTCGATCGAGGATGTGGAGTCGTAGTCCGAGATCGCCGAGAATGTGGCGTGCGTCGTGAGTCCGGGAAGGTGCCGGGCTTACAGCTTTGCGGTCGCTGAGTTCAAGGTGTGTTATCCTTCCGCTTCATGTCCTGTGATAGAGATGGCTGATGAAAAGGACGTGTAGACGGTGCTGTCGGTTCTCATTGGATCCACGTCGTGTGTCAAGAAGAAAAGAATCTTCAAAACTTGATCAAATCCATCGCGATGAGTCGTTCCAACTATAGTACTTCTCGTTCGCAGACTAGCTCTAATCAACCTTCGTCTTCGAGCTCTCGCACTTTGAACACTGCTTCCACGTCTACAACCTCTCGCGTCAGACTCCCGAGGTTGACGGACGATGAACGTTCCTTATTACAGGAGCATGAAGGTTGTTTCAAGTGTCGCAAGTTCTATGCTGATCACTTAGCCAGTGACTGCAAGACCGGTTCCCCCGACGGTGCAACGTATAAATCGTTGACAGTCGCAGACGTGCCCAAGGACAAGATCAAGTCCAAGACCACTGTCTCGTCCAACACTGTCGCTGCAATCTTACCTGACATACCATCGTCGGTCTTAGAAGGAGATTTCTCTTCTGATTCCGAGTGCGTCGCTCCTCTCTCTACCCCTCATTTTTTTTGGCCATGTCTTCTCGACGGTCCTTCCGCTCCTTCCTCTCTTGAGGTCCAGGCGCTAATCGATCATGGTTCACACCTAGTTCTGATTAAATCGGACATCGTCAAACGACTTGGCCTTCGCCTTCGTACATTAGACAAGCCGATTGTGGCTTCAAACGTTCTTTCTCTTTCCCCAACCTCTCTTACGCAATATGTTTTTCTTTCTCCCCTTTCTTCGGACTCTCTTTGGCGCTCGAAACGCATTCGAGCTATTGTTGTCGATGACCTTGCCGTGCCACTCCTTTTGGGTGGCCCTTTTCTCTCTCACAACCGCCTTGTTTTAGACCATCATGCACGTTCATGTATTCCAAAGGACTGTTCATACGACCTTCTCTCTCCACCTCCCTCAATCCCCATCATTAATACTCCTCCTGTGGCTCTGGATTACGATTCACTACGAGCAAATGTAATAGCTGAGTTGGTCGAAACTTCGAGTGCCAGGCTTGAACAAGCCAACGAGTCCTCGATCTCTGAAGTCAACGCCAGTAACGTTATCTCCTCTATCCTTAATAAAATTCAATTCCTCGCGTCTACTAATTTCAGTAAGGAACATCTTCAAAAACTTGACGCCGAAATGCGCAAACGTTATGAGGATCGTTTTCCAGCTGAGTTACCGACTATTGATGCCCTTCCAACTGATGTTCATCACCGTATCCAGCTTAAGGACGCGAATAAAACCATCCAGTCGCGTTCTTATTCTTGTCCCCGTAAATATCGTGCTGTCTGGAACGACCTGCTTCACGAACATCTCGAGTCCGGTCGACTTCGTCCTTCTGACAGCTCTTTTGTATCACCATGCTTCCTCATCCCTAAGAAAGATCCCACCGCCAAACCTCGATGGGTCAATGACTATCGAAAGCTTAATCAGAACACTGTCCCAGACAACCATCCTCTCCCTCGCGTTGAGGACATCCTACGCGATTGTGCTAGAGGTAAGATCTTCGGCAAAATCGACATGACTAATTCCTTCTTCCAGACCCGTGTACATCCCGATGATATCAAGTATACGGCCATCGCAACTCCTCTCGGGCTCTACGAGTGGACTGTCATGCCGCAAGGTGGTAGAAACGCGCCTGCTACTCATCAGCGACGAATGTTCTCGGCTCTCCGACATCTTGTCGGAAAAATCTGCCATGTTTATCTTGACGATATTATCATCTGGTCTCAAACTGTCGCTGAACATGTCAAGAACGTTCAACTCGTTCTTGACGCTCTACGAAAGGCGAGTCTTTTTTGTTCCCCTAAAAAGACCCAGCTTTTCGCTTCAGAAGTCGAATTTTTAGGACACCACATCTCTGCGCTCGGGATTCAAGTCGACGCATCCAAAGTCTCCAAAATTTTGGATTGGCCTACACCCCGTTCTGCAGGTGATGTCCGTGCTTTCCTCGGCCTTGTTAGATACTTGGACCAGTTTCTCCCGCATCTAGCGACCCATACCCGGGTCCTCACCCCACTCACTACAAAAGACGTTGACAAACGGTGGCCCGGCTGGTCACCCGTACATCAACACGCTTTTGACGACATCAAACGCCTCGTCACCAGCACCGACTGTTTAACCGTCATCGACCACGACGCGTTAGACTGTAACAACATTTATGTTTCGACGGACGCCAGTGACAAAACCGTTGGAGCCTATCTCTCTTTCGGCCCTACTCTTGAGTCCTCCCGTCCCGTCGCTTATTATTCTGCCCAGCTCTCTGGCGCTGAACTTAACTATCCGGTCCATGAGAAAGAACTCCTCGCCATTGTCAAAGCATTAAAGAAATGGCGCATTGATTTATTAGGTGTGCCTTTCCAAGTCTATACCGATCATAAAACGCTCGAGCACTTCTTTTCCCAGCCCGATCTGTCTCGTCGACAGGCTCGCTGGCAAGAATTCCTCAGTCAATATGGCTTTTCGATCAAGTATATTCAAGGCAAAGACAATACTATCGCGGACGCCTTGTCCCGTCTCGTCCCCGATCCCAATTATTCTTATGCAAACCATACCGAATCACTTCCTTCCCCTCTCGTATCTTCGAATGCTTGCATCGCTTCAGTACTTTCTATCTCTACCGATGCTAAGCTCCTCGCCGATATTTTGTGCGGTTATACCACTGACCCTTGGTGCAAACGCCTTCCTGACCTCCAGGACTCATTACCGGGTTTGCACAATGTCGACGGTCTCTGGTTCATCGGTGAACGACTGGTCGTTCCCCGCATCAATACTATTTGCGAGTATTTGTATCGACTAGCCCACGACACCCTTGGCCACTTTGGTTTTGACAAAACCTACGCTTCGCTACGTTCTTCCTTTTATTGGCCTAACATGCGCCGTGACCTCGAGGAGAGTTACTTACCTTCTTGCGCAGACTGTTCTCGCAACAAGTCTCGCACAACGAAGGCTCCCGGTCCTCTCCATCCTCTTCCCCCTCCCGATCGACGTGGCGACTGTGTCGCCATGGACTTTGTCGGCCCCTTGCCTTCAGAAAAAGGCTACACCGGCATAATGACCATTACCGACAGGCTCGGGGCGGACATTCGCCTCATTCCCTGCAAATACGGCCTCTCCGCGCAGGAATGCGCCTCCCTCTTTTTTGATCACTGGTACTGCGAAAACGGCCTACCCACCGACATCATTTCCGACAGAGACCGTCTTTTTGTCAGCGCCTTCTGGAAGACGCTATCGCGTCTAACTGGCACGAACCTAAAGATGTCCTCTGCATACCATCCCGAAACCGACGGTGCAAGTGAACGGACCAACAAGACTCTCAACCAGTCCCTCCGTTTCTTTGTCGAACGCCGTCAGAAGGGCTGGGTTGATGCCTTACCGCGTGTGCGTTTTAACATGATGTCTACAATTAATGCATCCACTGGTTTTTCTCCCTTTCAGCTCCATCTCGGACGCTCACCTCGCCTCATCCCTCCTCTCATCCTACCCGCCTCTCTTTCCAATGAGACCGAACTTCAACGCGCCCTCGAGAGCATTCGCTCCCTGGAGGATGACATAGCTGATGCTCACGACTCCCTACTCGCAGCAAAAGCTTCCCAAGCGTCTTCTTCAAACGCTCATCGCGCCCCTGATCCCGTCTACAAAGTTGACGACTTTGTATACCTTGCCACCGTGAACAGAAGGCGAGAGTATTTATCCAAACACTCTAAACGCGTAGCTAAGTTCATGCCCAGATACGACGGACCTTTTCGTATCACCGCTGCTCATCCCGAGACTTCAACTTATACCTTGGATTTGCCGGAATCTACTCGTGTCCACCCAACCTTCCACGTATCTCAACTGCGCAGGCATGTTCCCAATGATGACATTCTGTTCCCTGGCCGTGCCCGCGTTATACCTCCTCCTATCGTCACGCCCGATGGCGAAGAGGAATGGGAAATCGAACAGATTCTCGACCGTCGCAAACGTGGTCGAGGTTGGCAATACCTGGTAAGATGGCAACATGAAGGCCCCCGTGGTGACCTGTGGCTTCCCCAACGACTCATCGAAGACTGTGAAGCCCTCGATGTTTTTCTCGCCTCCCTAGAAAACTCTTCCGAGGAGGGAGGAGTGTAAGCCCGGCACCTTCCCGGACTCACGACGCACGCCACATTCTCGGCGATCTCGGACTACGACTCCACATCCTCGATCGACGTTCCTATTCCCATTTCCTTTGGGACTACTATTCTGCTTCCGTTCTATTTTTATGATTATGTTTGCTTCGAAGAAGACTTCGTCTTCTTTACGATTCCCTTGGATTTCTCTCTTACTCGATTCCGCGCCCTTGCTATTCATCTGCTCATACGTATAAAACGAACTCCTTCACGATAGCTACCTTAGAATCCCCTCCTACCTACTCTTGTACCTCCCTGCGTCACCTCACGAATCATACGCATCGTTCTACTCAGTTTCCGTCCGAACCTTAGTGTTCCCCGCCTCGGGCAGGGTTCCAAAAGCCCTTCCCGATACACGTCCTCGGACCGTTTGCAAACGTCAACAGATGCCTATGACCCACGAGCTCCTTCGCGGGCCCGGAATCAGCATCGCCGCCAAGCCACCTGTCGGGGCGGAAGGACGCAGCATCGTCGCCCCAGAAGCGCGGGGAACGGTTTATAGCGGCGATGGGGATCGCAACAAGTGTTCCGCGTGGTACGATAACGTGGTCGGTGGTGCTGCCCGAGGCGGTGGTAATAGGCATGGAGAGGGGAATGATATCGTCTTTGATTGCCTATCATTGCAGCAAACATAGTTAGGAAATAGGGAAGGCAACAGTAGTGGGAGCAAAAGAGAGGCCTCACGACACGCTCGATCTCCGTGGCAGCTGGGTGGAGACGCAATGTCTCGTGCGTGACAGCGTCGAGGTAGGGAAGCTTGACGCTGCCCATAAGCTCATCGTACAACGGTCGCTCACCATCGTATTTCGCGAGCTCGTCGCGGAGCTTCTTTTGAACCTCCGGGTGCTTAGCGAGCTCGATAAGGGCCCATGTCAACGTCGCTGTATAGTTTCTCAGTAATATTCTCATGCCAAAGAAGAAGAATGAAGTGCACTTGAGGTGGTAATGTAGCCTGCTGAGACTAACACGCTTATCTGCATTCCACCGAGTCACATTATACATGGACTAGACAGTACTGAGGGACGTACATCATCAAGCACTTCCTTCTTCGATAGTTGCAGTCCGGCCTCCGAGCCCTCTGCACGCACTTTCAGCAAGAATCAGCTAACATAACCAAATCGAAATGAAAGAAAGCATGCAACTCACGTAGTCTCCCCAGTACCGAATTATCCGCAATGGACTCGCTCCCTTCGCCCTTCTTCGCCTCCTCCCATACTTTGTCTGCGATATCTTTGAGGCACTCTCCCAGTCGCTTTGCTTTCTGCTTGCTTTGACCCGGAAGCTTATGTAACACAGGGAAAAACAGCCCGAGGGTCGGGAGCATGTTGAAGAACGAGCTTGAGGCATCGTCAGCGTCGAACATCTTTGCGACGATGGGTTTCTCGCCCTCGAGCGAGCGAAAGTCGTGCGAGAAGCCGCCAAGCCCAATTGAGTCGATGCTGTGGATGACGTGAGCGGATGTAACACTCGAGGAAAGGACTTTAACGTACGATATCTTGTTCATCCTGAGTTGCAAAAGCATATGTTAGTACATTATAAACGTCAGCCAGAAAACAGGAGATAAGCATACCATGTCTGAATCTCGACGATAGCGCCGGTGTCTGCTGCCAGATTTTCCCAAGCACTCTTGCACTACCGCAGTAGCATCGGATCAGAGAAAATAGCTAGCAGATGTCACGCATAACTTGCCTTATATGCGCAGTCATAGAAAATGGGATTCAACGCGCGTATCGCAGCATTGCTGAATGCCGGCATGAGCACCTTCCGCTGCCTACACCCACGTCAGCCCCTTCATCATCACACCCGTTCTACCATAATGCCTACCGTCTATGCGCATCACCCTCAGCAACCACAACCCCCTCCCCAACCAAATACCTCAATGTATTCCGCTTGAACTCCGTCCTGACATAAACAGCATTATCCACAGCGAAAAAATGCGCGACCGCCTTCGCATCAAGCAGCACGATCCTGTCCATGCCGAGCGTGTACGGCACCCTGTACACGGGCCCGTACTCTGCCTCCCACCGTGCGTAGTGCTCGGTGGCTTCCTTGGACGGCGGGAGCTTCTGCGAGACGCCCCAGATCAGGGAGTCCGATTGCGGACTGCGTAGGCGCGTTGAGGCGCTTTGGGTGCGGCGGGCAGTAGAGATGGCGCCGACGAAGATGAGGACAGAAGCAAAGGCGGCAAGAAGCTGGAGATCGGGCACGTCGAGAGACGTGACCATAGACGAGAGGTCTGAGAGGCTGGTGAATGAAGTGAATAGTGCGTTAGACATTGGATGTGATGTGATATGTAGAGAAATAGCGGAAACGTACCTGTTTATATAGACTGGTTTCTTTGGTGATTGGATCAGCACGTATGATACGCAGGACGTATTTCTGTGGAAACATACCTTTGCTTGACATCGTTGGCCTTACGAGGTTCGTGTATTTTCCAGCACCAAGAAGTGTGAGAGGGAGTCGATGTGATTTGTTTGTTTTGGGAGCAGGTGATCTTCTACCGAGCATGGCGCCGTCGGCCGAGAAGGCACTGTTTTAAACGAGCGCCCACGATCCTCAAAGGAGCTGCTGCCAGTGGTTATCTCCCAGCCTCGAACGTGTGCTGTTACAGCATACCAGCGTTAGGATATCGGCCGAAGACGCACTGGCATGTGTCGGCCGACTGAGAGTGACTCGCAAAATATCTCCGTAGGCAAACATTCTTCTTCCCAGAGGACGTACTAAGTGGATGGACAGTGATCTCAGCAAAAAACGCGAGCGTGATAGGGGCTTAAAACTAGGTTTCGGCCAATGCCGCAATAATTACTCTCCGCGACGCCACCTCAAGGCCGCCGTGCCAGAGGCAGCTAGGTCATACGAAGGGGTCGGCGAGCCGGAGGTGAGCCGAAGAAGTTCTAAGGGGCCCGGGCTTCGGGAGCCAAAAATGTGACAAGGGCCGGCCCCTTGAATGCACTAGACAGAGCCACGTGACGCTCAATCGGCGTGCTTGGCGAAACTAATCCGGCGCATCGGCGCAATTCGGTCCAAATTAGGTCGTGGACCGAATATGACCGAGTCGACCAACTTGGTCGGCCCCTTCGTATGAACTAGCTGCTGTGCCAGACGCGACGAAGACACGCTCATTCCAAGCCTTGCCCTCGGCAGAGTTTCCCACCTCGACGGCGCTAAAGATGGACGAAGTACCGGCTCCTTTTGATCCAGACCTGGATGCTGAAATCCAACACATGTTCGAGGTCCCTGAGCCTCAGCTCACAGACGACCTCACCCAATTTTTTATGCGAGCAAGAACACTTCCCATAGATAACGACCAAGTCGAGAACACCTTGGTTGGCCGTGTATCCCTTGACTAGATTAGGTGTATCGTCGCGTATAGACTCGTCCCAGGGAGCAGAGATTATTGCAACCATAGTTTCGACCAGACCAGCTCGGAGAACGGACGGGGGGATAGAATGGTGAACAAAGATATCGTCATGAAAGCCGGCGCGGAGGCGGTAGAAAGAAGGCAGGCGGGAGCGGCCATCGGGGAGTGCGAGAGAGCAATGTTGAAGGCATCCGACAACCTTCTCGCATTCACGAAGTGAAACCGCCGAGCCAGGAGTCCAAGTGCTGATGCGAAGCAGGTACTTCGTCTTTTTTGCCTCTGGAATGCAGACGGTTTTGCGGGGGAGGTCCCAATCAAAACCGAGGTAACTGAAGAGAAAGGAGAAAGGAAGATGTTTGGCAGGCGCCCAAGGCCACCCCAATTCGCGAGCAACCGAAAAGATAAGGGATTCGTCATAGGAATAGGACCACGGCCCAGAGAAGGAGAAAATGATGGGGTACCGCCAAAACGTGAAGTCGTCGGACCATTTGAGGATATCGTTAACGCCGCGAGCACGGTAGATGCAGACAATGCTGTCAGCAGGGCGTCCGAACAGCCCCATGGAGCTAGTGCAGCCAAAGCAGCCGGTATGGTCGACATAGAAGAGAGGCACGCCGTCGACGTCCACGCGGACGCAGACGTACGGCTGATCTTCGGGCGCAATGGGGGAGCGGCGATGCGCGGCCTCGACGTCGTTGACAGACACCTGTGTTCCAGGGGGAGCATTAGCGACGAGGAGATAACAGTCAGCAAAAGAGCCCCAATCACATTTAAAGGAGGAACTGTCGATGGCAGAATTAACAGAAGGGAAAGCCGGGTTGTGACGAGGAAAAGAATGATCTTGCACGAGACGAAACTTGGAAGAGCCAGGCTTGGGAATAACTCCAAGCGGGCCAGTGCGAAAAGGACCCACAAGAGCCTCCAGCTGGTCACGCGTGAACGGACCAGAGTAGCGGCCCTCGCGAACCTCGGAATTAATGTAGTTGAGAATGAAACCGGGCTGCTCAAGAGCGGAGCGATGATTTGGAGGAGCAAAAGTTTGAATGAGAGGGAACGAGACGCCGAGACGCCAGCCGTCGCGGAGACCAAAAGGAACATCAGCAAATTCGTGGAGGACGCCAGCGTCGTCCAGCGCGATCGCCCATTCCTGCCAGAGGAGGGGCGTCACCACCTTGAGAAGACCCGACTCAAGCGCAGGCTTGAGCCGAGTGAGACGCGCCGCAGCGAGAACACTTGTGGAGGAACTTGCAGGATTGACGAGTGCACCCCGCGGCACCGTTGAAGGCGAAGAAAACTGACTCGTTGGAAGAAGTCGTCCACTTGCCGTCGCGGAAGGTGAGGAACACCGTGGAGGTGGTGCCACAGGCCCGGTTGCGGCAACCGACGGCGCCGCAGAAGATGCAGCGTTGGTCGGGAGATGTAGCTGCACGGGTGGCACGCTGAGTGGAGGTGCGAGTGGCCGAGGAGGATGCGCGAAATGAGGAGGAGGCAGAGGACGAGGAGGCAGAGGCAGTCACCGCCCGAGAGGGCGGAACCTGCTGACCCGCCAACAGAATGTTGACGCGGTCCATCTGCCACGCCGTGACCAAGCGCGACCAGACGCGCTCCTGCCAGATGGACGGGTTGAAAGGCTCGGATCCCGACGCAAAGTTGCGCCCGACCTCGATATCGTACTGGAGGAACACGGGCCAGCGACCCTCTGTATAGAGGTCGGGGTGCTCGCGGATCTTGCAACCGTGTTCAGCCCAGATGGCCGCCCAACGAGACGCATCGCCTGGATCCTGCTCCGGGAAGTGGGCGCGGATGATGCTGACAAGACACGGGAAGGCGTGCATCCAATCACCGACGGAAAGCGCCGACTCGCCGTCGAGGTCCCAAGAGGCAGGGAGGAGGGTCAGAACCCCGGAATCCGCGATAGTAGCTGTGCGGTCGGTGGACTGGCCGTTTTTGAGCCCACGGAGAGCGGCATTGGTAAGGGTAGTGAGGGGGATGTGCGTGACCCATCCCGCCTTGACCGCCTGAACGACCCGGGGAGGATCCGGGAGCGTAAGGCCGCTCAGCTGGGAGTCAGTCGTTGGCAGACGACGCGCACCAGCCGCAGGAGGTGCGGGGGCTAGAACGGGAGTGGGAACGGGAGCCACGGGGGCAGGAGCACCCGGCATGGCAGTGCGGTACACACCGGGAAGCGGCAGACCTGGGAGGGGAGGGATCAGCACCAGGCGGGAGCGAGCGTGCAGGGGGGGGAAATGGAAACGAGGAGGGCCTGGAGGCCCGCCGAAGGAAGGAGAGGAAAGAGGTACTCACGGGCAGCGGGCGGGGGAAAGGGAGCCTGAGCAAAACCCGGGAGGTTGTCCCTACCCGTGACGTGATCGGCCAAGCGCTGGCGACCGTCGTCTGAGAGAGACTCCCAGAACGCGATCAGACCAGGCGAGAGGCCAGCCACGAGCGCGGGAGCCACTGGAGCCCGGGGCACCGAGGCCAGGGCCGGAAGGACCGCTGGCGCGAGTGCAGGGGAGCCCTCCCGCAGAATGCGAGTACCCGAGATGGAGGAGGCCGGAGCCGCAGAGGACTCCGGAGCGTGTTCAAACCGGACGCGGGGACGAGGCAGCGCGAAGGGGGCAGAGACGGAGGGCGGCGCGAAGGACAGGGCGTCCTCGGCCAAGTGAGAAGCCTCGGGCGCTGGAGCCCGATCGGGAGCCCGATCCTTGCCTTTGGAACGCTTCGGAGGAGGAGCCACCACCGAATCGGACTCGGATGGCATGCGCCTGCGGATGGAATTCGCCCCCAAGTGATCCAACCCCCCAAAACTTGGGGGAGGGGTCGGAGCACGGGCAGGAAAATCGTCGACCTCGTCCTCAGGCTCAATGAGGTCAGGAAGGTCCTCAGAGAGCAGGGTAGCCGGAAGAGCGTTGTCCACCGCCGCCATGATGGTGTCGTCATCGAGAAAATCAGCAGAGTCCAAGGCGGGGCTGGACTCCCCAGGCAAGACAAGCTCGTCGGCGGGCGAGGCAGAGGGAGCCGCCGCCGGCGAGGACCGACGGGTGGAACGAGGGCCCACCGAGCCCGACGCGCGAGACGGCGCAGCGGAGGAGAGAGCACGAGGAGGCATTGGTAGGAAAAAGCAGAGAGAATTCGAGCGAGCGGTGAGCTTGCAGAGAGCGAGAGATGGTGGCGGTTGAAGTCTAAGAGCAATCGCCACCTTGCTCTCTGCGCGCTCTGGCCAGAAAAGGCGCGCCGCTCGTCACGTGTGTTGACTTTCTTGGCTCACTCATTTCGTCCTCAGGAGCAGTAACTATCTTGATTATCACCGCCTAAGGCACGAACGGGAGCCCTCGTTAACCTCATTGCATTAGATTCTACTATCAGGGGCTCAGGCCCAGGCTTGGAACATCCTGATCAATGTGTCTAAGTCGGGGAATTTCGAGGAGCGTCATTCTGTGCTCGACAGGCAACTCAAAGCAGGTGTTCTGCAGTTATGCTCGACAGTAAGTAATTTCATAAAACATTTTACCTTATATAATATTACCTGATAAACTTAGACTTTGTACCATCGCGTGCTACTGTTCAGCCGCTTAGCGTCTCAGTTGCTAGCTCAGCTGTGTCGCCAGTCTTTCCTCTCAGAAAGGCTGTCACCTCGCGATACAGGTGCTATCATTCACTCGCTCTGCTCCTTTGCACTGCAAGACAGCGATGGTTACTCCGACCAGCTCATCGATCCAGCAAAACAATGGCAATGGAGTTTCAGCGAACTAAGCGCGGAGGACCCCTGGTGTAACAATGATGAACTTCGATGTTTAATGGCTAGGCGACTCTTTGGTGAAGCGCAGCTCTACGCTCTTGACTATGTCCGTATTTTACTCTCTACGGACAGAACGTCTTCGTCAAAGCGACTGCTCCAAGTCATCAAGCAGACTCCGACAATCATTGATTTGCTTCTGGATTGCATGATTCTCGAGCCTCCCTATGGATTCCCCGATAGTGTAACAAGCTCGTTAGCTTGCGAGGCTCTATGTGCTTTGTTCAAGTGGTCACCCGACGCAGTTCCTGGAGTGCCGCCAGTAACAACTACAGCCTGTGGTGCCGGTGAAGCAAGAGCGCTGGGCCAGTCACTACAGTTTCTCACTTCGCAGGATAATTGGGTGGACAGGCTTGTGGAGGCGTGGGCTGTCGCCGAAAAATGGTGTAATGATTCTGAGGGATTCGAACGGTAAGATAAGAGGTGGGATTCTTGAGCCCAGGGAGCGTTGATTAACGGCGCACTTATAGCAGTTTCGCGGCTGCGGAGACACTCTACAGGGATGAGGAGTCGACATTCAAAAGGAGACAACTGAGAGGATATACAGGAGAGTTGGCAAGTGCATTGTTTCCCGTTATCAAGACCCATGGTCTGATGGAATTGTTCAAGTTGTGACACAGGCTGCTCTCGTATATCTATTCTTCGCCTCATCACCACTCTAACACATTTCGCGGACGCTACTGGAGTCAAAAATGTCGACCTCTACCCCCTGCTCACAGTTGCATACCAAGCGAGCTTCAAGATCGATGACGAGAAAGAGCGCCACCGCACGCAAGACATCTGCAACTGGCCATCATGGGCGTTGCTGACGATGGACCGCTACGGCTACATTGATCCCTTCCACGTGGCTCCGGAGCGCGTTCTCGGCCCTACGGCTTTCGCACGTCTATTGGTTATACTAGCTCATCGAAATGCGCTAAACAACACCCAGTTTCTCCACAAAGCACCCGAGAGCCTGTCGCCTGTGACCTCACTCACTCAAATACAGCAAATGACGCATCCAGACGTTATCCGGCGCTTTCTTACGATATCCCTCTACCGCGCCAAGGATCATATAGAAGAAGCCATGTACATGGAGTCAAAGGAGGTCGGAAAATATTTGCCGCGCTCCAGCGTCATATTCAACGGCACTGCGGAGCTCGCGGCGGCTATCGTCGCCTTTGCCGACCTGACGGGCGACGCATACACCAGCATCACGTACAGGGCACGCTTAACACTTGTGACGGCTCTTGGAAGTCTCTCTCAGACAGCGATACAGATGGGACAGTATAAACGTGCGTACTCCTGGTCTATGACGGCTCTTGACATGAACCAGAAAAGCCCGCCTAAGGAGAAGATTAGTGATTTTCTCGTCAAGGGGTGCAAGAGGGTAGCTCGCGACGCTAAGAGGGCAATCGATTCGCGATAGGAAAAAGAGGTTTTCTGGAACTTGGGCTGCGCGTTGTCTTGGACCAGGGATCCTGTCGGGTATAGTGATGCCAGCCAATGGTTTCGGTCTCGCCAAAGATATCATATTATAGCTAATTTTGTTTATTTTAAATCCCTCAACTTGAGCATGGGCATTCTCCTCGATACCTTCATAGATAATTTAGGAGAAGGCTGGCTGTGAATAAATGCACATTTCCACCAGACTCAGTTGAAGCGTTATTCAGACCTCACCGCGCTGTGATATAATGACAATTTGTTGTTTGTTCGAGTAATCCCAGTGACCGGGGCTTCGGAGAGTCGATACTGGGAGGGACTATGTCCGAGGGATATCGGCTCATATCAGCACCGTAAAATCGGGGACAAGGGTAGATAGAACCCTCATTCTGTTATGCCCTCGTCCAAAACATTATCTCATATGCGATGTCCTCAAACATAGCTTGTCCCATTGTATGGCTCACAATTACTCGATATGGAGCTGCCACCTGATGCACTGGTCGCCGCCACACAGATCGGTGCGTTTCAGAAAGCTTCTGCGTGCACTGGATTGCTGCATGAGAACCATACAAGCGCCCACAGGCAGGTCATCTGCGTATACACTCACACCATGTGACACTATTTCGGGAGCCCGAGAGGGATATTCCGTGAGTTCAGGCACCGGACCGCATCCCATCTCCGTGCAACCAGTAATCAACGTTCTTTCATTGTACGACCTGAAGGTGGTAGGGGTTCTCGAGTCGGACGTCACACTGTTTATCTTTTCAAACCCAGTGCAAAGGTGCTCCCTCGAGTCGATAGGTGTCATAGGTCTTGTGCCCTACTCCTCGGTATTCTAACAATGCCAAGTCAGCCTAGGGGGGACGTTCTCCTGTGCGAGTGTATATGTTTATAATGTCTAACTATAACATGGGTCTTGATTGTTCCGGCCTTGCCGTAAACCTTTACACTCCACTGGCGCTCAATAGCCACCACATGCCTCATATATGGGGTATCGTAGATAGCAGTTCGATAGGATAGAAGCCCCTCTGCCAACCCATCTGGCCAATATCTGCACTATGCCCCAGTCTGAAGCTGAAGCGCGGTCAGAGGTAATTTCTAATATTACTTATATCCAAGACACCAGCTTCTGTGTGGGTGAGCGCATATTCAGTCACTAGCCTGGTCATATACTCAAGCAGACGGAAACATGCAGCCGCAATCGCAACAATTGTCGTATACGACTGCAGTGAGTCTGGGATAAAATCTAACCACATAGCAATACTGTTCTTGATGGATTTCGACAGTAATCAATCTGGACAGAGAGGTCAGTCTACAGCTTATATGACCCCCTTGTTTCTTATGCAAGCTTACGCTTTGAACAAAAGATTGACCTTATATGGGTAAGCTCCTATGATCGCAGCGATGACCGGGTCTGAAACTTTTGCAGAATCGAAAACTGACCGTTGTGTCCTGGCTTTACTTCATTGTATGATTGTTTTTCAGCATTATGAGCCATATTCACACCGTTTAGTGTCGCTACCTTTCTGTAGCCATGATTATGTATGTTTCCTTACATTGACCGCAAATCTATGATGTTGACTATCCGACCAGATTTGCCATCCTAAGTAAGGAAAAGTAACGGTACTCTGAACATTCCTAACTGATTTTTTGTATTGTCTAGTAACCACCACGTTTTCACTGTCTTCGATGGTAAGCCGCCTCTCTCGAATGATTCTTCCAATATTTAACATGTTCGCCATGGCATAGGGGTAAGGCTTTTTATACCATTACAATTGTTTAATTCATTCCCAGATCTTTTGTGCCTCCACGTTAGCTGTCAGTATCGAGCTGGTTGTAGTTGTGATACAGTGAGCTGATCGTTTTTGTGTATCAGGCACCGCCATTAGCCAAACCTACACATGGTCAAGCTTCGTTCTAACCGTTGCTACTAATCTCTATTCAACGCCTTGGGTTCTATTAGACTCCATTGAATCAACAGCTATTATGGTTCTCCGTATCCACGCAATGTTCCATAAATCAAAGGCCATCCTTGCCCTCCTTCTCGTGGCCTTCCTTGCCATGGACGTCTTCAACATCATCGGAATTATACCTAGCACGGAGCACCGAGGTAAGTGTGTCTACGTTTTGTGTGGGATCATCTAAAGTATCCCAATAGGGCATGCTGAAAACGTTCTGCTCATGTGGGTGTGCACCGAGCCTAATAGTTGGAACTACAAGATGTTCGTCAGCGTAACGAGAATCCCAGACATATCATTCGGCCTCCTGTTACTAGGATTGGCATTTTTCGGGTACTACCAACATGCTGCAGAACGGAAGAGATATCTGGGCATCTGGTCTGTTAACTCGTGGATGAAGCTGATTCTGACACAAAACGTGGTCTACTTTATTGTGTAAGCTATGATTTCTGACCTCTCAACGTGCTCTCACTGCTTGTATAGAGTTGTAGGGTGCAGCACCGTCACACTCACAGCCGGCTACTTCAGTGAAACTCAGGTCTGTGCTCATCAATACTGGCCTGATAGCTTGCTTATTCGTCATTCATGCACAGCTGACATTATTAGCATTCGGTCCCACCCTTGTTAGCTTGCAGAGCTATATTCTTGCACCACGTCTGCTACTCAGTTTCCGTGGATACCATTCTAGACCCACGCACTCTCGGGGTAGCTCCGCCGACAACGCATTCGGCATCAGTACCTACGCTTCAACTGACAAAGATTTTTCGCTTCCCTACTACCCAGCAAGTCTTAGCCACGATAGTAGAGCATCATCGCGCATTGGGATTAGAACTTGGGATGCGATGACAGGTTAGGTTCAGAAAAGTAGAAGGCGGAAGAAACAGAGAACGCTCTGAACGATGCATTGTAGGTTGATACGTATGCCCCACTTTCTCACTTGCTACGTCCGTTGTATGATACATAGCCTTAGCCCCATAATCACTATGCTTGAAGATTACTGTTCAAAGCACCCACGATATTACAACGCCAATCGGATCATGACTTTCTATAGCGCTGCTAAAAGCGAAGTTAAAGTTTAACCGTTAAGATTTGCACTGTCGATACCAGGAACTAGATTACAAGCCTTAACGTCGGTTGGCTTTATTATGAGCGCTCATCGCTCGAAGCATCGACTTCGATAATTAGTTTGGGTGGGATCCTTCAGCGAGTCCAAAAAGCGTCCCCAAAGTAGATCCTTGAAGTTTTTTAGGGGGCTGCTATCTCTGCGGGGATTTGTTGGGAATTTGATCGTTTCCTTTTTGGCTCTTTCCTAGATCGAAAGTGTTGAATGCATTTTAAATTCAGCGAAAATGGCTTGTAGTTTTACCTACCCTTCCCTCCCTTTCCTTCGCGCAGGTTGCCTGCGGCGAATGGTTGACTCGCGCGAAGCGGATGCATTACAAGTTCGTATTGAAGCGCCGATCCAAAGCTTTAGTCAGATCAAATTTTTGATCCGTTATCTCGTGAGCACCTGTCACTCCCGCATGACAGGTGTAATTGGACGTGATGTGGGTGATGCACGTCACGTCAAGTTGGCTATAGTCCAGCCGCGTTCCCCTTTCCCCCGATAATTCTTTTATTTCTGAGGGACTTAGAGCCATCCCTCCCTCATATTCCGTCCCCTATGTCATAGCGTCAGCCGGGCAGCCGTACTGCTCCCGGCAGGCTGTCAATAGATGTCAATCACCTCCTGTCAAAGTCCGAAGGCCCTGCTAGACCGTGCACATGGAATATAGCCCGATACGGATACAGTTTCCGGTGCCTGGCGCCTGTGCCCGCCGCCGCCGCCGCCTCCCTCGCATTCCCACGAAGATCTCAGCCCCTCCTCACTGTCTAATACACTCTCAAGATGCGCTTCAGGCGTCTTAGACAGTTCTTATGATCGGTAACAATGTACGTGAATGCAGGGGTGGGTTTATTACCAGCAACAGTAGCAAAAATACAGATATAACCTAGTTAGTGTTAGTATTGTAGGTGAAGGATATATTATGCGACGTCCACGTTCTCCTCGTCGGAATCATCGATGACGGCAGGGGTCTTTGGCGCACGAGAACGCGTTGTCGTCTTCTTGGTGGCAGTGGGCGGGCGCTCGGCGCGGGCGTAAGGGCCCCGCTTCTTACCTGCATCAGATCGCTGCTTCCGAACCTTCCCGCCCGTTCCCGAGGCGGTCCGTTCCGCGACCTTCTTCATGTGCTCGGCGGCCTGCGCGGCGGTGATGTTGATCCATCTGCATCGGTTAGCCCGGAGCTCGGTGCGCAGCTTCTTGGCGTCGTCGCCATTCTTGAGAACGCATGAGAGGTTGCCGAAGGGGATCTCATCCTCGGGCCTGCCGATGAGCTTAACGTGCCGATCCCTGACGATGAGCGTGTCGTAGTACTTCCACTCCATGGTGATGCCAGACATATGGGTGATGTTTCCTGGATCGCGTCAGTAGTTAGAATAAGCAAAGGTAATTGAAAGACGTACGTAGACCAATGAGGATGAGGTCATTGCACTGCCCACGGACGATGTTGAAGTCGTCGCGCTCGGCGGTGTCTGTGCGAGACGTTGAGCTAAAGATAAGAATAAATGAGCATTGGTACGTACTCTGCTCGTTCGCGGCCCCCCATAACTCGAACAACTTGCTGACGTCGCCTGCTGGCCGGCCGAGAGATTCATGGAAGAATCGAAGCGTGTTGTCGCTGCCGTAAAGAGTCGTAGGGAATGTGTCATTGACATGGCCGCGCGTGACCATGAAGATGACGTGCGCACCTGTACGAAGAGCGAGGTTATCGGCCTCAGGATAGTTAGTACAACAGCAGGGAGAAGAAGACGACGATGACTTACGACATCCCTCATATGGAACGTTGTCGAGCTCACGTCCTGAGCCGCCAGCTTGTTGGCGCCACGCATGCCGACGAGCTTCAGAGAACGATGGTCCCCGAGGTTGGTCTTCAGCTCCTCCTTTTGTTCGTCTGTCAGGTTCTGAAGGTTGGGATCGTGGGCGGCGAGGGTTCTGAGATCGTCGAGTAGAGCCTTCTCGCCGATCGCACGGTCTGATAGAGTAGACGTTAGTATAGTTCAGCACGATGAAACATTGATAACACACCTCCGTTGGCCTGCGTGGACATGTAATGCGTGATGGCGTTCGGCAGCGTCACCTTCCGCGTCTTCTTGTAGTGGGTGTTGGCAATGAGGAGCTTCTTGATCTTGTCGGGCTTCTCGTTGAGATCCGAAGCCGCCTTCCGAACTTCAGTCTCCTGCATGGTGATGAGCTCTTGGATGCGCGCGAGGACGAGCTCGTGGTGGAGGGCCTTCTCCCCCTTCTGCGCCTTGCGGGTTTCTTTTTGAGCAGCGGTGAGAGGAATGCTGGGGCGAGAGGGCTGGATATCCGTGCGATCCGGGTTCCTACCCGGCCACTCCCTCGAGCGCTCGACAGCGTCTTCATCCTCAGCGACGAGGGTAAAGGGACGGGTGTCGAGGAGGCTGCGGACCTTTGCTGCACCGGTAGGGGCGCGGTCTTCATCGTCCTCGTCCGAATCGCCCGCATCTTCCTCTTCCTCGTCACTGGATGGATCTTTGCTGGCATCGCCGCCGGAGGATAGTGACGTGTCCCCCATCCTGGCATCGCCTGCCGACGTTGGCATGCCCGCGGTGCCACCAAGAGTAGCAGACGTGCTCAAGGTGTCTGTTTGACCATACGACACGTCGAGTGAGACACTGTCGAACGTGTCAAGCGCGCTGTCTAGGGTGCTTGACACGTTGTATGGGGACAGAGGGCCCGGGGGGGTGTAATGGAGGCGAGGCGGCGGAGAAAGGGGCAGGTCCATGGAAGGCGTTGAGAGATGGACGTTACCATCAGCATGGGATGGGGTCAGGTGGGAGAGGGGGCTTGGGTTGACGGAGTGCGAATGGTAGTAGAAACTGGCGAAGCTGGCGAAGCTGGCGAAGCTGGCGAAGCCATCGTCAGGGTTCGAGAAGGACTTGAGGGATGATGTATCGGGCGACATGGATCCGTAGACGCCAGGATACGATGGGGTGTTGCCGGTGGGTGGGAGAGGCGGGAGGGGTAGGTAAACATCCTGAAACGAGGTGTAGGTGCCCTCGCGGCCACCAGAGGCTGTCCCTGCTGCCTCAGAGCTGGTGTAGTCGGGAGAAGGGAAGTTTTCATGACCGTAGGGCTGCATCTTGCGGGTGTCGATAAGCCTTCGGGCTGATCCTTGAGAGAAAAAAACGGAAATGGACGAGTGCGTCCGTTTTCAACGCTTTTATAGTCGGGGTGTTATTTGTCACTCACTGGCATCTAACAAGTACAAATTATCATGTTGAATCGAGAGCGCGTTATAGCACGTGCCTACTAGATCACGTGCTATGGATGAGTAGGTGTTCTTCGCCAATTGAATTGAAAGCTCACCACATAGTTTGGCGCCCAAAAATAAGCGCTGCTGTTGGCACGCCTCAGCGCCTATGTGGTCAGTTGTTGGCAAACCCTACAGAGGATTTAGCCCCGTTGCCTCATTGCTAACACGTTAACAAGTAAAATACACGCTTACCACCACTCATACATGATCGTACGAAGCATGGGATTGAGCATAGCAAGGCGCGACAAGACCATGCCAGAGTTGCCGGGATAGCAAGGAGGTGCCTTCAACCGCTCGTGATAGTCTTCTCAGACGCCAATCAGAGGATACTCGCGCTGTAGGATATCGCACATGGTCACTGTGCTAAGGTCGCATACACTGCCAAAGGTGCAAAGGCAGTCCCGTCACGTTTGGAGGGACCGGCAGGTTAGGGGATAGGTAGGAACGAGATTACCGTAGGCCGGGTGCGATGTCCTAGTAATGTAGGTGCGCCCGATGCTGCGTTGTCGTATAGCAGAGGAAATATACTGTAGAAACAAAGTGTGTGAGAAGTGAGCGGTGCAATACAACACGTACAGTTGTCCCGGGCCATCTACACGGGGCGCGGAAGACCAGTCTCCAGTAGTCGATGTACCGAGGAAGGCGTCTTGCAGTCTAAGCATAAGAACAACATCAAGTGTGCAGTTGCTGGAGTCGTTGATCAACGTACCTCGTAATTTGTATCCGTTCCCCACTGCATTTTTACTTCCGCTGTCACAGGTAAGGGGGACGCTGACAGGCGTCTAGACCAGAGTGACAGCCGACACGGCTGTACGCGACCGACCGGTTTAACCCGGTCCACAGTCATCGGCATAACCCGAACACTTCCGGTGTCTTGACCCCTACTGATCGATTGATCACTTATCGCAATCGACATCGTCGCTCCGTTATCGTCCACCTCCTGGCCTCACCGGCACCCATGACGACTGCACAGCGCGAGGCTACGCTGCGGTGGCTCGAAAAGAAGCCAGAGTGGGTTGTTTCCATCCAACTTATATGCTCAACTGACGCAAAATCAAGGGCGCGAGAAAGACAATTGACTTTGGGTAGGCTTCGCGCGGCAAGGTGCGTGTGTCCGCGCGCCTGGGGTTTACCTCACTAATCAAGCCGCAATTCAATGCATTCAGGCAACGTGAGAGGTAAGCTCACCTAACGATCGGTTTTTAATTGATATAAACTTATTCATATTGCAAGGAAAAGCGCAGCTAAGCAACAACGCGGCACGGACCCGGGGTTAACGTTGCACTCCTCCTTGTCCCCCAGCCTGTCGATCCCACCTAACGCTCAACCCAACTCTCATCTCTCACCCCAGCATGTCGCCAACCTCGCGACTCGCACCTCTCATAGCTCATCTGTCGCAGCCATTCGTGCAGAGATCCAGGATTGGACACTGGAGTGGGGGAGCGAGAAGGATTGGGCCGTGGAGTTCCATCGTGAGCTGCGCCGTGCAGAGGCACATCCTCCCGATGGTGTCGACTCGTGGGTCAATTTTCTCGACGACCACGTTCGTCATGGGAGGGATATCCTTGTTGCGCTCAAGAACGTCAACATGAAGGAAGTTTTCGAAGACCCTCTTGTGGTCCAGGATATTTTCACTCAGGTCCTGGAGCTCACCCACCACGTTCTTTCTGAAGTTGTATTCATTTCTGTAAAACTTGACGAGTACGCGCCTGCCCTCCCCTCCTCTCGTATCTCTGGTGCCCGACACTTTACCATGTAGATTACCTAGTCTGTACCTCATGCGACATGGAAACCTGACTTATGTCATGCAATGACTATCTGTACTGCGTTCAAAACTCGCTCGCTGATACTGCGCTGCTCTAGCAATTGTACTAAATACCTAATGCAATGTACACACCCAGTACGGAAAATACAATAAACAGCTAGGGGGTAATATAGCGTACTCATAGCGTAGCCAATCTAAGTACCAACTGCTGACATTTTATTATATCCGCTGCTTAGCGTACCCACGCTATAGTACGCTATAGTACGCTATGCAGAACGTTCACGTATAATTGTCGTTCAACACAGAGCATTGAACCCTGAGTAGTAGGAGTCGTCTTATAGTCAGAATATGTGCTACTGTGAGTTCAAGGTCTTTGAGTAGCCATGAAATCCCAAGTCGAAGGGTATATTGATAATGTGCACCAAATGCCGTTGAATGCTATCGAGTTCGCAAGTTCACGCGCGTCACATTTGTGTACAAGTTATGAACGTCTAGCCAATACTATGAGTCCACCCAATCGCACGGCTCTCAGGCACGCTCAAACGTTGCCTCCTTATCTTGTGCTTATCGAAACAAAAGGCCCACTGATTCTGACGTGACATAAGATGAATAAACGGTTGCATAAGAACAGCTAAACAGTACAAAATTATATGTACTTGTGCTAACTATCTACGCCTGCGTGGACCTCCGTGGGCTTCTTCGACACTGAGTGCTGATATCAGTGGTGTAATGTCATCCTGGGGCTGGATGACAGGCGATGATGAAGGGGCCGGAGGTGCTTGCGGCCAGTATGGGCCGTTTTCAAATGGTACGGGATCGAGGCAACCGTCCTTGTAATCTCGCGTATACACAGCCAGCGCCTCCTCAAACGTGGGGTACCCACGTTGAACAGCGGAGCCAACGTGGTGCACCCGCGGGCCGACTTCGTTCCTTAACTATGTATGAGTGTCCTGATAGGTAATAGACAACAAGACACTTACCAATCGTAAAATATGCCGACTTCCTGCCCGCGGGAGACGACGTAGAACTTCTTGACGTGGTAAGCAGGTTTCTTGAATGAGCTCGGGTGAGGAATGGCTGGTCGAGGAATGGTAGGAACAGATTGGGAAGGGGAGAGTGCGGCTGGCGACGGGGGTGAAGGCAGAGGGGCGTGTGCAAGTGGAGGGGAGCGTTGAGGTGGCGGCACACCTGCAGGCAAAGGGGATCGTGCAGGCTGTGGAGTGGCAGGAGGCGGCGTTGGCGAGTGCAGGATGGGATGGTGAGATCGGCGGCGTGGCGATGGGGTAGGGCTATGTATCATAAGTGGACTTTCGGGCCAATGCGAGCGAGATGATCGAGCACGAGGGGTACTGGGGGGCGATAATACTGATGCCGGGGTGCTGCATACCGAGGGTCTGCTTGTGCGCGAGGCAGGTGAAGCAGGGACCGATTGTGAGTGATAGACTGTAGTTGTGCGATATGTGGTTCGGCTGGTTTGGGTATAAGTCGGCGACGTCGTTGTGGTGACTTCCGTGGTACGAGTACGGACGACCACAGGAACACTGTAGTCCTCTTCGCCTGTCGGGGAAGGAGTCCGAGCTACTACCAGCGTCAGTGGCCAAGGTTCAGAGGTCCAAATAAGTCAATGTACCAGTGGATGATTCAGAGCTAATATGGTGCAGTTCACCTAGCCACCGCTACCTTTGTGCAAATTAGCCCCTATCCTACTGTAGCCTTCAATACCAGACATTTTTTAATTTTGTCTTGTAGAAATGCTTGTTTCTATCGTACAAAGAGTTCCACAAGACAGAATTTTGATTGAGTAAGAATTGGCGGAGATATTTTTTTAAAGGTTGATCGATTTGGCGCGGCCCCGTAAAAGGGAGGCCCCTATTCCAAAATTGGAAACACTTACCCACGCTCAGTCAAAGCGTTGAGCAACACGCTCTGGCACACGTCGATGGGACTTGTATCGTGTTGAGCTGAAGTTGCGAACCTCGATATGTGACTCCTTGGCATACAAACCAGATCTGTATGCCTCTATCCCAATGGTGGGTACGATTTTCCCATAAGCGGATTGTGCAAATGTCGACAGAGGCCATTGCTTTGGGGATATTGACCTTGAGAGTGGCAAAGGTATAATCACAGTTGTCGCGAATATACTTCTTGACCTTGCCCCAGAAATATTCGATAAAATTGAGTTCGCAATGAAACTTGGGTAAGAAAAGGCACAAGTGACCGGCTGCCTCAATAACCTCGCGAACAAGTGATTTCTGTTGGATTTCTGTTCTTAAAAATGAAGCTGGAGTTGCAGAATGTGGCGCAAACAGCACTAGGTAGCATCAACAGCACACTTGCTCGCTGATGCTGCTGTTTCTGATGTTTGGACATAGCTAGAGTATGCTCGATTAGCGCGATGTAATCCTACTGCTACGCCCTTCGTGCTGACTAATCAGGGGTACTCCATATATATCAGCTGTGAGGTTAGGGTTCAAACTTGAATTTTCCGCCGCCGATTTGGCGCGTGCACCAAGGTAGCGGTGGCTAGGTGAACTGCACCATAGATGTTATAGAGGCGGGACGACCTCGTCGAGTAGTCGTCTCCTGGACCATGGCTGTAGCTGGTGAATGATCAAGTCATCGCTATCAGCACTTAGTTGATGCCCTGCTCGCGATCACGTGCTTTACCTCGCCTGCCCCGTCGCCCCAGAACGCGAACGCGCAGAGTATTAGATTGCAGAACCACCGCTCCACAATGGCTATTAGCACAAGCAAAAAACGTACCTCAAGTTCCAATAGATATCGGGTCTTAGGGCCATCTCGCACGGCATCTGGGGCGCCTATTCCAAAGCATATGAATGTCAAGACACTCACAGCGAAGGGTCTCTCTGACTGGACCGTCAAACAGGAAAGGAAAAGGCAACAGGACATGAAGTGTGAGCGAGGTCGAGTAACTTAATGGCTTGATGCTTACCTGTGCTGCAGTGATGTCTGCCGAGGAGCAGCAACGCATCCGACAGCTGCGTGATCTGCCCCTGCCCGCGGAGGATGAGGACATGCCTCTGGAGCAGGAATTCCAGGTCAACATTGAGAACATCATCAACGGGTCAGAAGGAATTGACATTAGTCATGGTGGGGGGGAGTTTGATGCGCTCACCCGTGAACTGCAAGGTAATCTGTCCAAGGTGTAAGTGTGTATACGATTCCACTACGGCCAAGAGCTTACAATATTTGTGATATAGCCTTAGTTCGACAAAACGCCGCCGGCGAGACTATCGCACCAGGCGCGACCGAACTTTGCGTCGGGATCGAGGGTTTCTGCGTCAGCTATCGGCGATGGCAGATGCATATATGGACTGGACGCACCAGTGCAGCATGTCGGGTGGCCGGGGCTGGTGTGCTTGGGATACCCTGCGTCGGGTGGAGGAGGGAGAGGCAGGGCCTTCCCCGGCGGGTGATGATGGGAAGGAAAAGGATGTGAAGCGCTGTGAAGTGCGGGTTGTGGATCTCTATGGTGCGTGGTTTCTAAGTTTGAATTGTATACGCTGATGCCCATTGAACACTATTAATACATAGACGCCCACACGGTCGTGATAACCTACCCCTCCATCTCCGCACCTGGTCCGACTCTCGCTCGCTTAGGCCTCATCCCATCCTCCCCTACAAACCCCACTGTTTGCGTGACAGCCGACGTGCTCGAGGTTTATCGCCTAGCCCACCTCCGTTGCCCGCACTTGTCCGTTCAAGCCTTTGTCAAGACAGTTTGCGACCTCCATCAGCGGGCTTATGCCTCTTACCTCACCCGCCAGTTCACCATTGCCTTCGACGTATATCAGCAAATCCTCGCGGAGGTCAAAGTCCGAGTACAGGCCGCGTTGCAACGTGATTCCCCAGACTGGAGGCTTAAACATGCGTGTCCGGCGTGTACATACAAGCTCGAAGACGAAGACGAACTTCAGTTTTCAATGCTCTACACCATGGACGGAAACGACTCACTGAAACGCTACCATAGACGTGCATCGCAGGACGACGACGAGCTTGAAGATATCGGCCCCAACACCGTACAACCCTCATCAGAGCTACCGACTGCATTCCAACTTCGCAGCGACAGGTACTTGTCTCGAGAGGCGGTGGATAAGCTTGCAAAACCTGGTACCAAGTCATTGGCAAACGAGGAGGTGAGTAACTTCTACTCTTCAAGCGTGCATTGTTAATATGGTGTAGACCAACAACGATGATAATCCGTGCACGGAAAGGTGGAAGAACATGAGAGATGACAACACCAAGCGGATGTGGGGGATTTTCGAGGAGACTGGCCTGTTCGCATCGCTGTGCCGACATGGGTTTTCTCTTGTCGTTGCTGACATGGTGCGAAGCGGAGAATTGTGAGTGTTGACTTTCTTCCTTGAGTTGAAATTGCTAACGCTGCTGATCAGATCTAAGTACCCGTTGGCCGTCGTCGAGAAGCTACTCGGCGCCTTTGGTATCAAGCTCGGCGGCGGCTACGATATCGGATGCAGCTTAAAGACGACACTCGCCAACAGTCCTATCGGCGCCCTCGCAGCTGAACTCAAGCATACGAGCCTTGTGGGGGCATTTCACGGGCACGCTCACCGCCGGTTATGTCAGCTATGGCACCTCGCTACGTACGTGGAAGGTCTTGGACTCGAGGACCTCGAAGGGTGCGAGCGGCTTTTCTCGAAGCTCAACGCACTTGCCGCTTGCGTGCGCTACATGAGCGCTCTCCGCCGTCAGCAAGCCATTGCGGCCTTTCTTGAACATAACGACATGTTCGAGGTGTTTGCGAACATTAGTGAGTACTCTACTCTTCCCCAAGCCAGTATCTCATAGCCGTGTCTAGCACTCTTCATACTCAATAACTACAAGCAGGCAACTAAGATGTTGTCCGAAGGCTCGACGGCATTGGCCATAGCCATGCAAGAGCTCGGTGTCAAGGATGAGAACGTGTTCGAGGAGTGGCTCAAAGAAGAGAGGGTATACCTGAAGGGCCTTCAGAAGGAGCCGGAGAATGAGACGTTGGAGATGGAGTACTGGGAGCGGCTCGATAATCTAATCAAGTACACGTAAGTGAATTCAGTTCGTAAAAATGTATGCTTATTCGGATACCGCTCAGAGAACAAGTCTCCCAGACGTCGGTCTGGAAAGTCGACACTCCTGAGACAATGGAGCAGGGTCGCCCCGATGAGACTTCCGCCGACGCAACTGCACGTCGTCACGCCCTCGAGAAGTACGACAAGGAGCTCGAGATCGTCCATGGGTTGGAGCGGCGGCTCGGTCTCGTGAAGCGATGGACTCCTGACATGCCGGAGTGGCAGGAGGCTGCTCGCAAGGTCGGCAATCGTAAGTACCAGCGAGCACTTGACTCGCTCGAGGGTCTGCTCGTTGCGCGAGTGTTTGAGCTTACGAAAATGAACAAGTCGCAAACGGGTAAGTCGTGATTTTCCAGTATTCGTCACGGCCGCTTGATACATAAATTATTGGCAGGATATGCGCTACGCCAGCACATTGGCAAGGCCCTCAAGGCCCGATCCCAGGCCATTTGTACAGCGCTCGATCGGTTCAACAACATTGCGCACGCGTCTGGGAAACCGAAGCTTCAGTGGGACGAGGTAGTCCAATACACATTCCTTTCCGACTTCGACCTCCTTCGAGATGCACGGCAAGATATCCGAAAGCAGCCATGGGCAACGCCAGCGGGCCGCATTGCCATGGATCAATACTTCAAGCTGTGCCGAGCCCGTGAGGAGATTCGTCGCCTCAACGTCGAAGCCCGCCGTGTGGTTACTTACCTGCGCGACGAGATGACTTACCTGCGCTCGTGTGAGGAGCTGTATTGCCCGATGCAGCCCTCTCTCGCCCACCAGATCGCAATCCACCGGCGCGAACGCGAGCGCTTCATGACGCTCCATGAGCGCCGACTCACGAAGCTCGCCGAGCTCCCCGGCTTCAGCGGATGCCTGACGCCAGGCGTTAGCAAGCAGCGGGAGCCCGGAGATAGTACCGGGCCGCTTCCGGCGGCTCCTACTGACATGGCGGTAGACTTGGAGGCGACAGACGGCAACGATGGAGTGGAAACCGGAGGGGATGGCAATGTGGACAGGGGTGGTGACGAGGGCGACGACGACGATGGTGAGGGCGACGACGACGAGGGCGACGATGACGACGACGAGCCCATCGTTGCCGAGGCCCTCGTATCCATTCTGAAGATCGCGGACGACCAGCATGAGGTGGAGAGGGGGTAGGGTGGCTTCTATTGCTCTATGACATGTCATAGGATATGTTTTACTTTATGTTATCATTCTTATAACACTACCCTCTATGATAAAACACCCGACGCGTCGGGGAACGGGCGGGCGGGGGATGGGACAACTGATTGACAGCTGTCAGAAGTGACAGGGAGACTGATTGACAGCCACCCGGGAGTAGTAGCGCATCCCGGCTGACGCTATGACATAGGGGACGGAATATGAGGGAGGGAGGGCTCTAAGTCCCTCAGAAATAAAAGAATTATCGGGGGAAAGGGGAACGCGGCTGGACTATAGCCAACTTGACGTGACGTGCATCACCCACATCACGTCCAATTACACCTGTCATGCGGGAGTGACAGGTGCTCGTGAGTCGACAAAAGCACTCTCAAACCGGTCGTGTCCTCGTCAATACTCCCAGATCTGCAATATTTGACTCGTTGTCACGCACTCAATACTCAGTCATCATGAGCAACAGCTCAATAATGGATGTGCTTACGAACAACAGTTCAAGAAAGGATTTGCTCCATGCAGTGCTCACCTCCCCCGACCCTAAGCGTCCCGCCTCGCTATCTTCAATTTTCGGACAGCTAAACGAGTATGGGATCGACAGCTATGCCATCTTTGATGTTCTGGTGAATACGTATACTTAGGTGTGCAAAATATAGTTCCTGACAACATGACAACGTCAGTCCGTTATCACAGATATGTTCCGCTCTTCGGCAGGATCAACTTCAAGCTCAGCATCGTCTGGAGGCAGTTGGGACTCAGCGATAGACGTGAGTATGAAAACTGGTCTTATTGAGTCTATGGTTGGTATCATTGCTGTACCTTGGAGCGACACCTCTACATCAAGTCCAGATCAGCTCATCCGGGGCTACATGTCTCAGTGGCAGGCGTGGAACATCCTAATAGAAGTATGCGGCTTAGGAACTATCCACCAACGACACTTGACTCTTAGTAAACTCATCAATGCAAGAGCCTTTGACATATGCTTGACAGTGGGTTGCTCTTTCAGATCTTCCGGCCGATCAAATTAAATTTGCACAAACATATTCAGACCTTAAACCATCGTTTGTTGTTGTTTCGTGGACGAGCGGTACACCTTCTTAGAGCGTCATGCAGCGAGTCCTTTCTTCCACAAAGACTCCCCTCTCAAGACGTTGCTATCTTCATCTCCGCTCTATGCACCCTTGCGCTTCAAGATCCGGACACATTATATGGTCAACTAACTGGTCCGGAATCAGAAATGCAGTGGAACCTTGCCAAACTTAGTTTTGAAGACCCATGGAATAAGAATGACGAATCGCGCCACCTAATGACGAGGCGATTCTTCGGAGAATTACAAATGTTCGCCCTGGATGCTGCCCGCATCCTTCTAGCTATGGGCCTTAATTCCTCTCCAAGGGCTCGTCTCAATGTTATCAAACATTCGCCAGAGATATATGACTTACTACTCGACTGTGGAATTCTCGCGCACCTTCACGGATATCCGGAGGGGGTGTCAGGGCCATTGGCCTGCGAGGCTCTATGCGCTTTCTTCAACTGGCCAGCTGATACCCTTCCCGGAATCCCACATCTCGAGGCTTTGACGACTCTCGGTACGAAAGATACGAAAGCAATGATCCAGTAAGCGCAGGTCTTTGTCTCGCAGGTCTGCTGGGTGGATAGACTCGGCCAGGCCTGGATAAACTCTGTATCTGACTCAGAGGAGACTGAGCGATGGATGCGGTGAGCAACTTCCCCCCAGCGTTTGCTGTTATTCATGCGATGCTCAAACATATCTCATCTAGTAGTTACACTGCTACTAAAGCACTTTACAGTAGCTCGCGTTCTCCATTTACAAAGGAGTTATACGAGAATCTTTCCCAGGCAGCCAGTAAGGCAGTTCATGCGAACATCTTCTCAGATATGACTGACTCGACACAAAGGTCGTTCTCGCATATCTGTTCTCAGAGTAGTCGCAACATTGACGTATAACGCCGACGCTGCTGGCATCAAAAATGTCGACATCTATTCATTATTGGAGCTTGCATATCAGGGCAGCTTCAAGATCGGTCAGGAACCCCGTCGCACAAAAGAAATAATTGAGTGACCGCCGTGGGTAACGCTAGTGGCCGGCCCTGACGGGTATCCTGATCCTTTCCATGTGTCTCCCGAGTATGTTCTCGGCCCGATAGCTTTTGCTCGCCTTTTGGTGGTGTTGGCACAAAGGAACGCCCTAAACGGTGTACAATTCCTCCAAAAGTCTCCCCAAGGGCTTTCTTCCACGACATCTTTGTCCCGTATTCAACACATCACCCATCCTGACATCATCAGGCGCTTCATCAGGATATCTGTTGGTCGCATACGTGATCGTCTCGCAGAGGCCTACACACTGCGGGACAAGGGCTTCAACGGGGCTTCCGGAGTACCGCACTCATGCGTTGCTTTTGCGGACGCTGCAGAGCTCGCGGCGGCAGTAGTCGCCTTTGATAACATCACAGGCGGTGATTATACCCAAGCTGCATTCCGAGCGCGATACATGCTCGTCGTATGCTTGGGTCATGTCGCCCAGATGGCGCTAGAGCTAAAGCATTACCAACGTGTGTACTTCTGTGCGCTAGCTGCCCTTGATGTCAATGAGAAGAGTGCTCGCGACGAGAAAGTTGACAAAAGCCTGGTCAAAGTGTACAATCAGAGGGCTCAAGAAGCCAAGATAGCTCTCGGCTTGTGACATCCTCGATGGTACTTTCCGTACGTGTTCATATGACAATGGAGATTAAATTAATCGTTAATCCACAATACAGCTTCGCAGTAGTAAGGATAACGTAGGTCTAGAGCAGGTTAGTTTGCTCCATGTTACATTGTATTGATGGCCTCGTTTCGTTGCATTGGCACATAATGCCCTGACGACGTTCCGCTATACACCTCAGTGTGATACAAAGAGATATAAACCCAAATGAAACTCACTGGTAGGTATATTGGGCAGAGCCGCGCCCTCCCAGGACACCTGTAGCTCGAAATGCCGACGAGGTTCACGGGCTCTCGTATCCGCAGCTTTCCGATCGAAAATGGGCTCCACTCTCTTCGCTAGAGCATCCACCGTCCATGTATCCGCCTTCCCGTACACGTCCACATGCAACTTCCTGACCCTCGCAGTGAGCACATCGGAAATTTCTATAATCAAGCCGAAAATCCCAGCAGCTGCGCGAACGATGTTCGGGAAAGAATGCGCCAAGACAACACCCGCGGGCGCAAGATTGTCGATGTTGATATGATAGATCATGAGGATACGAAGCGTCCTGCTCCGCTCGCGAATCTCTTGCCCCTGAACTGCATTGCTGAAGCTGAGGCTTCCCGAGTTATACGGAAGCGCGAGTGTTTCGATGCGAGGAAAGGTTTTTGCGATGGTGAGAACGTTATCGAAGGAGAAGGCAAGCGTGAGCCGCTCTGCTTTCTCCAAGGGAGGGAACGACAGTTCCTCCAGGAGAGGCCAGGATTGAGCCATCTCGAGTAGTCCATCCAAGGTAGGTATGACGTCGGGAAAAACCACCCCAGGTTGAGAGCGCGCAGTGAATGAAAATGAAGTATAGAGCGGAGCGTGGATAGCTGTAAGAGACTGATATATCAAAAAGGAGAGGCGAAATTACCCAATTCAAGTCTCTGCATATGCGTCCCGCCGGGAAGCGCTCTCAGGGCGGCACAGAGCTGATACAAACATCATCTGGCGAGAGCTGATCCTCGATATCAAGCTCAGGCGAGGGCGGAATGGTGCCGAGTGTATGAAGTAGGGAAATGCCGCGCGAGATTCGAGGTAGGACGAGTTTGAGAGTAGTAAGTGTCGGAAAGGCATTGCAGACCAGGTGATGCTTCGGGCAACACAAGCACGGAGCAGGGCGTCACGCGTCAACGTCCGCATGGGTCGAGTTCATGCGCAACCAGCCAGCTCGAGTTGTAGGATGCCTTACAATGTAACCCTCCTCATCCCGCCTAATCATCTCTATCAGCGACTCGAAAGAGAGAACTGACATCAGCTCCAACACCTTTCCTACTTCCGCCCAGAACACATCGAGTGCGGGACTTCTAAATACCATGCGGGTTTTTGAGAGTGCTTCGAGCGCCCGTCAACCTTCAACAGGTCGTTACTCCACAGTTGCCTGGGACCATGAAGCGAGTTGATTGCAAAAAGATCAGTACATCCCAGCGAAGATCTTCCGGAAGAGTAATGGTACGATGCATTGGATAGCTTCAGTGCGTCAAGAAGGCGAGGTAGTGAGAAGAAAAGCTGCTCGGAATATGTCGGAGTTGAGACGTGTCGCGTTGCGTCACTGCACGCGAGCGTCGATACAGAGTCCGTTTCGCGTCCTTTGCTCTGGTTCGTAAAATACACCAGCAAACTTGGACATAGGATCATTACACCACACGCGTACGCTTGAGAGCAATCGATCATAAAAAAAGTGCAATTATCATGGGTATACACTCATCACGGTTATAATGTATACATAACATTATTCAAGAAAGTATCGATGTGCTGACAATCTGCTAGATTTGGCGTTCTAAGTAAGGCAACGCTATAGACTCATAACTCGTATCTTCATAATTATGGTAGGCTTTTATTGACCTTTGTTTGACGTTTTGATATAGAGGTTTCCTTTTGATCTTGGCCTGCGATGCTTATCCCGAACAAATTCCGAGCGTGGTAGAACGACACTTTGCTGGTGATACATGCAATTATCTATGGCGCGTTTTTGTCCTTAGCTAAGCCCTCGGGAAAAATATGATATGCTGTAGCGGTGTGAGCTCGAGCTCATTAATACTGCTAACTTCGATAGAAAGTGCCGGAGCGTAGCGCGGCGTGTCTTGTTCATCTTTCTTATTTTGGTTTGTCACTACTAGTAGTGACTACCTCACTTCCGCTTTCGGCCATGGTGAGTCTTTTCTCGTGATTCGACTCGATTTCTTTGATAGAATTGACCAATTCCAGTACCTAAAACGCGTTAGCTGGCCCGCTCAGGCTTGATAACATGGACTCATATTCCTGAGATAGAACTCACAGCTAATGTGTGAGCGCGATGCAAGGCGAAGACGACTCATGAGTATAGCTAAGTTGTTGTGCGGTCGCCGTAAGAACTCACCCCTGACGATGGGAAGCTATGCCTGGGCTAATTTTGTTGTGGTTGTCTCTGCAAATGGTATTATTTCATCAGGTTTGCCTGACACGGCATCTCACAGCGACTAAACATCAGCTATCATGGTCCTTCGAATCCATGTTATGTTTTATAGGTCTAAGGCGATACTCGTGCTCCTTGTTGTTGCATTCATTGCGGTGACTGCCTTTCAAATAGTTGGGTTAATACCTGGAGATGAGCACTTAGGTTGGTTCAATTGACATTTCCTTGTTTGTTATCAATTTACAGTAACCGCAGGACATGAGGTCTTGTTTTTATCCCTGTATATGTGTGTCGAGGCCGCCACATGGGAATACCGGACGTTTGTCAACTTTACTGTCATTACACCCATAGCTTTTGGTGTTTTACTACTAGTATTAGCCGTATGCGGATATTACCAGGATGCAATGGATCGAAAGAAGCACCTCGGCATCTGGTCCTTCAACTCTTCACTCAAGCTGTTGATGAGCCAGAACGTTATCTACTTTGCCGTGTATGTTCAACTGTGGATTTTGTGGACTGACTGAGCTAAAATTCGATTAGATTTGTAGTATGCGATGTTCTTGTTATTGCAGCTGCTTATACAAGCCAGGTCTGCCTATTGCGTCCCTTTTTCCTCCATGTCTCGATTATCTCTGACAATTATGTCTGGGCCATGATGCTGGCATTTCCAGTAGTGCTTTCAACCTTGCAAAACTACATCCTTGTACCTCGCCTGCTACTCAGTTTCCGTAGTTACCACTCGAGGACGATACACTTACGTGGAAACTCTGCAGACAGCGCATTCACTATCAGCACTTACGACTTGACAGAGAAAGATTTCACGGTGCCGAACCAACCGAGCCTTGGCCTGGATAGCCGGACATTATCGCATGGTGGGATCGGAACCTGGTCGGACTCAATGATAGGCTAGACGCTGGAGTAGGGAGGGTCGGACCGAGCTTCGAGGAAGGCACGATGCGTAGTTTAAGGTCGGCATGGCCAGCGTAGTCGGTACATAACGTGTTCGCGCATGGTCATAGTCACTCATCCCTACTATACGAGTACTCTCGTCGTCGTCTTCTCTAGGACTGACCGTCCCGACGCGCAACTTCGGAGGTGAAGGGTATGAGGGTATTTCGGATTAAATAAGTCACTACATAAATACAGCTCCTAGAAAGAAATGTCGCATAGCGGTCACGTCGCTTACTTGCGCATAAAATCAAACCCGTCTCGAACTTTTGTCGAAATAGTTACCTGCTTTCCAGAAAAAGTCACTTATTTCAATAGTTCAAGCATCGTTTATATAACGAGGGTAAGGTCTCTTGTTCAACATATCCCGGTCCTTACTGTACACCTTTTCAGCCACGGCAATAGGACACTTGAACGAAATTACTAAAGTCTTCTCCAGCTGGCCTTCCACTCATCGAAAATGAGCACCACTCTCATCGCTAGATCATCCACCGTCCACCTATCCACCTGCCCGCATAACCCATCCATGCGCAGCTTCCTAATCGCAACCACAAGCACATCGCCTACGTCCTCATACGGGCCATGCCGAGTGTCCACGAGGCCAAGGTTCGGGAAAGAGCGTGCCAAAACGGTGCTCACGGGGGCAAGTTTTTCGTACTTTATGTAATCCATGTTTCGGAGAGCGCGAATGGTCTGACTGCGTTCAGGAATCTCCCGCCCCGGATCCTCGAACTCTTCAAGGAGATCCCAGTCAAATGGAAGTGCAAGGTCCTCGAGGCGGGGAAACGCCGCTGAAATCTCAAGAACGTCGTCAAAGGAAAGCTTAGGATCTTCTTTCAGATGGGGGAATGAAAGGTCTTCGAGGAGGGGCCATGTTCGAGCCATCCCGAGCAGTTCGTCCTTGGTGAGTGCGACACGGGGGAAGGGAAAGAAGTCAACGTTGATAGAACGCAGCGTGCGAAAGTGGAACAAGGGGCGGAAGGTGGACAATTGTAGATCGGGAGGATTATGGAAAGCGTCATGCGGCTGAAGAATAAAGTTGGGGTGAACCAACTTCACTTGCTGTATCTGTGCGCCGCCTGGATGCGATCTGAGCGCGTCAAATAGCCGATTTATTTCCTCCAGCAAAGGTTCTTTTAGGAGTTTCAGCTCGACCGAAAGTGGAACGGCGGCATATTTACAAAGCAGGGTAACCGCATCGGAGAGTTGCCGGAGGCCTAGTGTAAGAGTATCGAGCGCCGGAAACGCATACAGGATCCCAGTGCCTTGCGCCTTCCCAGACTTGCGCTCCGCACTGTCCGTATTCATGCTGGTCAACGTTAATTCTCGAAGGTTTGAGAAGCTGGACACGTGAGCGAAGGCATCATCCTCGAGGTCTGGACAGCAAAGGGAGATGATGTTGGGTATCCGAATGACGCTTTGAGAAACAGCCCGCAGTATAGAAGGCATCTCTACATCCGGCATTAGACAGCGGATTATGAGGTGTTGCAGACCAGGGCATGCTTCGGGTAATGGCCCGAGCAACATGTCAACGTCTTCGTAATCCCACATCAGATGTAGCTCGAGCGTGGTAATGTAGGGAAGTAACAGTGGTCGATGAAAGGAGTAAGCCATGGGAGGCGGACGTGCCCTTCCGTGAGTTTCATACTCGACAACGAGATGTTGGAGTTTGGGAAACACGCGGCCAGGGCTCAAACTGACGGGTTCTCGAAGTAAGCTTCCGGCCAAGTACCCAGAATAATCGTATCCAGATCCCACAGTGAGCTTGCGAATGCGATCTGTGTACTCGCAAAGACGGTCTATATCACTTGGTGACGGAGCCGACAAGAACTCGGTCTGGCAGATAGTTTACGTAACTTCAGCTCTAGTCTAGGATGGGAGGATGGAGACTTACAATGTACCACTTTTCATTCTCTCCAAACAACTTTACCCGTGACTCGTCGGACAGCGTCACCATCAGATGATGAACCATTTCTACATCCATCCAGAGTATGTCTAACGCAGGAGCTCGAAAGGCCCTGCAGGTCCTGGCGAGCGCTCCAAGGGCACGCTTGTTTTGCTTCTTGTCCGAAGATTGTCGAAGGCGGTGTACGGAGCTGAATGGATGCAGCTTGGCGCAGATCATGCGAACAATTTCCGGGAGAGAAAGAGCAGAATGCATTTGAGATACTGTACGAACCGTTGAAGGGGATGGTTGATGTAGATGGCGGATAAAGACAAGTCACACGCGGCGGAGTTGAGGGACACGACGGCGCAGGCAACGTGGTCGATAGAGTCCGACGGTACAAGCTTAAGTTCTCCCTCGTCCCTCGTTCATGACATTCTTCCACATAAATCAGCCATAAATCTCAGTTAAGAGTTAATTCTCGTGGCCTCAGCATTATCCAGGAATGAGCTTAGCTCTTTGATGCGGCCGCAACGAACACACTCGAGTAGATACTGGTGATTGTAGTCCAGGTCAAAAGACAAGTGGAACGTCGGAGTTTCGCTCGTCGCCCACGATGTGCTCACATGTAGCACACGTGGGTGTTGCATTGATGCATCCGTTTCTCGTTTCTTTGTTCAACACACGAGTACACAGAGCCGGCGTAGAAACGACACTTACAAATCTTAAAAGACTTAGAGATATGCACAATGCGCCACGATTGAGAGGAACCGAGTAATAAAAAGGGCGATTATCATGGGTATACACACTCGCCTAAATCCCAAATGAAAACAAAACCAAGAACACAACCCCATCAACGCTCACACTCACTTCCCCGCCCTCGCCTCCCATCCATCAATCCCAAACCACTCCGGAATCCGCGTCCACACCTCCTCCCGCGCCCCCTTAACCGCCTCACGAAACTCAGACTTGCACACCGCACACATGCGCAGCGCGCACTGCCGCACCCCGTCGCTAAAGTCCGTCCGCTCCAGCATGTCGCCCGCCTGCTTGAGCGCGTACAGCGGGTCCGCGTCCCGCCCGCACGCGATCCCGCCGACTGCGCGCAACACGTTGAGCTGCACGAAGTAGAACGAGTCGAAGCACGGGCCGCCCGCCTGCCCGCGCTCGCGCGGCGTCGAGTCCCACTGGCCGCCGGCGTTCTGGGCTTGGGCATGGGTATGGGCGGTGGCGGCGGCGGCGGCGGCGGCGGCGGCGGCGGCGCGGGAGGGCGCGGTGTCTGTGCCGAAGGGTGGGGGTGCGAGGGCTGCTGCTGGGACGGGGTATGTCAACGGGATGGGCGCGTTCGTCGGCGTTGTTGCAGCTGTCAGCGGGTTCGCTCCCAACACTGCCATTATATTGTTTATGGGCATTCGGGGCGGCGGCGGAGGTCCCTGTGCGGGAGCGTTTGCGACGGTGTTGTTCGGGAAGTAGCTCGGCGCGGGCGTCGAGAACGGGACGTATGTGCCGGGTCGCTCGAGACGGATGAATGTTGACGGGCGGGCGGCGCGGGAGGCGTATACGCAGTTACGAGATGGATGCGCGCGGACGGCGCGCTCGAGGAAGGTGAGAACGAAGCGCTGAGCGTGTTCGCGACCTCGAAGCGTGCGCACGAGGAGATCGCGTGCGATGGCGCGGTCGTTTGCATCCTCGAGGTTGATCTCGCATTCCTGCCCATCTCCGCCTGATTCCCCGTGTCCCTGAGCTGATGGGTTCAAAACCTTGCGTACAGGAAGAAGCGTCCCGCTGGTGATCTTGGACGGGCCATAGCGCGAGAGGTCGTAGAACGCGGCGGTCATGATATCGTTGAGCCCGAGCTCTCCAGCGAGACGAAGCACCAGCACCGGGTGCGCGTACACGTCCCGCGGTGCATATCGTCCTCCGACCGGTGCGCCGCCCCTCGCGCTGCCCATCCCGTGACCTCCGCTATGAGCTTGCCTCGTGTTGGCTGGTTGATCGAAGGTCGCATCGGTCTCACGGCGATCCCAAGTTGCGAGTGTCGACGGCCAGTCGTGCGTGAGGAGAGCAAGGCATTGTTCGCGGAGGTGATCGATGATGTACTTGGTGGAGAGGCGGAGGACGGCGGCGACGATCGGGAAGTGGTTTGGCGAGGAGTTGGCAAAGTACCTGTGAACGGTCACGCCTCGTTAGCGGCCCTCTTCCCCTAATCGCCCAAGAGCAGTAGTACGCACATGCCATCGTAGAGCGCAACAAGCAAACACCTCACGTCGCCCGGTGCATCTCCAAACAGCTGCACCAAGGGACATCCTTCGACGAACGCGGGCTCCTCGCCCATTGAGTCACTGGCTTCACAGGAAGAGGGAGGCTGCGGGAAGGAGAAGAGGTCGCAAAAGACCTCCGAGTGCCGTTCGAGTTGGCCACGGTGAACCTTGAAGGCGACGCCCCCGACTGCGAGGACAACGTTTCCGTCCGCGAACCAAACGTCAGAGCGTTGAAGGCCAGGCATGATGAAGCCGATGGTAGGACAAGGAGCGGAAGGAATGATAGACATTGGTGGTGTGTCGTTTGTTGGGTGAAGCTGGTGATTGGCGGTGAGGACTGGCGGAGAGATATAGTGAGGGAAAGTGAGGAAGAGGAGACAGGAGTATTCCAGATTTTATAAACTCTGAGGACGAGCCTAGAGTTACAGGCCAGGCTGGCACGCAGAGTCTGAAACTGAGCGGTGTCGAAGGTGCGTCAGGTGTGCGTCGCCGCCAGTCGAGATTGCAACTGTGGATGAACTTGCAGTGCCGATTGCGTCGGCCTTACGTGCATGCCGACGGTCCATAGTCCTATTCGCAATGACGAGCAGCGCCTTGAATCGTAATCCAAGCTCAGAGGCCAGAAGGCCAGACCTGCGCGACGATGGGTAGGCCGGGGTTCATCCTCCAACTAGGTGCCTGGGTGGTGTTGAAACGACATTCAGACTGAAATGCAGAGGAACCGTATCAGACCGGAGGACCATGGATGGAGCCTAAGCGTAGCATTTTGAGTGTGCGATGATATGGGTGGTGGTGGACATGAACAAACGAGCGCGTACGCGACGCGTGCTGCCCCCCACGTCCGTTTCCCACCAGCTCTTCAGTCCCACTACATTCTACTCGTCTCATTCCTCTGAGTCCTTACAACATATTCACCAGCACTTACCTTCGCAAAGACCCAAAACCACACCCAAAATTCACTGAAGTTCATAATCATTGCAATTGCATTACGTATACGTTAGAGCGTTCCTGATCATGACTTCCTAAGGGCTAGCGTCAACTCGTAAGTACGTGGCTACACATCATGCATCAACGAGAAGCTATGGACCAGGTCAGGCGGTATATAGACAGAAGAAACGAACAAGAATAGTAAACAGGTGATGCTGACAATGACGATGATGAGTGCAAGAAAGAAAAAAAGAGAAAAGTTCGTGATTGCTCGAAAGCGCAGCGTCCGATAGCAAGATGGATGGAGACAAGACGGGGGGAAACGTGCAAGTATAGGCCGTGATATATATGTACGTACAGATGATCAACAGACAAGAAAAAAAGAAAAGAAAAAAACGAAAGAAGAAAAACAAGGATGCAATTGTGATTTTTATTTTATTGTGGCGACGGTAGCCTCCGCTGGTCCTGCGTTTCCTCACCGGGAACAGCATTCGCCTCCATGAGCAAGCGCATCTCTTTAATGCACTCATTCAAGCGAATGTGCACCTCGCGCGCATTCTCCAGCAGCGGCTTGATATTCTCCGGCGTCATCGCAAGCTTAATGTCCGGCAGCGGCTGATCGAACCCAGCATACGAGCGCACCGACCCGCTCCTCGCGTAGCTCTGCCCCGGGCCGCGCGACGGCGGGCGTCCGTCGCGAGAGGGGCTGCGGAGCTGCGGCGTGGAGGTCATCGGCACCAACGCCCCGCCGACATCAGCGCTATTGCGATCCGCGACCTCCTCGACGTTCGACAGACGCGTCGAGCGCCTCGGGCGGATAGAGTGATCCAGGGGCGACGGCTCGCCGAGCGCAGGTCCGGGTCCGAGCGACGTCGACGAGCCCGTCAGCTGGTTTTTGGGCGTCACGGGCCGCGGCGACGCCGACGCTGACGGGCTCCCCGCCCGCGCGGCGTTGAATCCGCCAGTCACACCGAGAAGGTACGGCGAGCGCTTCTTTTTCTTGCCCTTGATGGTCGTCGAGCCTCCGTCGGCGCCCAGCGCGCGTGCTGCTGCGTCCAGATCCTCAACATGATCCCAGTCCTCGTCGTCGCTGTCGAACTCGTAGTCCTCAGCACCGCCCGCGATCCCGCCAGTCGAGTAGCGGCTCGCACGGCTGTCTGCACGCGCACCGCTCCCCATGCTCTCTGCGCCGCTCGCGGACGAGTTCCCGCCGGCAGCATTCGGAGAGGTGGCCGAAACCTTCTGTTTCTGTCCCATCCGAAAGATGCTCGCGAGCGACGGACGGCGCGGGGAGAACCTGCTCTTCCTATAAGGCGACGTCGACGCGTGCTGCGCCTGCTTTTCCTGCTGACGCAACCCCAAACGCGCATCTGCATACTCGCGATCTCTATCACGAATAGACGACTCTGGACCGGAGCTTGTCTTCGCGCGGCGTCGCCCCGTGTGTGCTGGCGGAGGATGCGGAGAAGGAACGCCTTGCGTTATACGGGGAAAATGGCTGTCGACAGACGAGTTTTCGCTGAGCGAAACCATCGAGGGCTGTATCTGCATATGGTGCTGCTGAGATGGCACGCTCGCCCCTGCCTGCGCTTGGGTTTGAGCCTGCGCCTGCGCCTGCTCGACAGTCGACTTCTTCAGCGATCTGAGCAAATCCCTCAACCCCGCCATCCCGAGCCTACCACTGCGCTTCTGCTGCCTGCCCTCTGTAGCCTGCGCCGCATCCTCGCTCGGAAGCGTCGACGTGCTCCCTGCCACATTGTCATCGCCCCACCGCCACAGCAGCGACTGCCGACTCGCGCGCCCAGACGTATTGCGATAAGCATTCCCTGCGTCACTGCGATGAATCGGGGTACCGTAGCTGCTCGCGCTAGCAGGCGGCTCGTCGGGAACAGCAGCAACAGCCGGCGGCTCTTCAACCGGCGGCCTCTCGCCACGCGCATCCGGCGACGTCGTGAGCATGTCCCTCAAAAGAACCAGCTGCCTCTGGCTGAGATCGTTCCGCCCCGTCGTCGACGCCCGCCACGCCGAATCGCCAGCTGCGCCATGCGGAGGCGGCTGCTTCATCGACTCGAGCGTCACCGCTCTCTCCCGCTCCCTGTCCCTATTCGCCTTGCGCATATCGCTCGGCGACATCCCGACATCGTTGTAGCCGCGCATCGCAGGCGCCGACGCCACCGACGCAGGACTCATCGTCACCGCCGTCGTGTTCGCGTTCGCATCGGGACTCTGCAGGTGCTGGTTCTGGTAGGGCGATGTCGACAGCAGCGCGGGCGTCGACGCCGAGGTGACAGCCGCAGACGCTGGCGGTCCGCCGCCGAGCTCGATGAGCAGCTCCGCGCACTCCCAGGTGAGACTGTAGCGCGCGGAGATGGCGTGGAACGCGTTCACGATGCGCTGCGGGTCCTGCGGGTTCGTGCTGCTCCGGCCGCGCAGACCGCCGCTGCTGGTAAGGAGCGAGAGGCTGACGGAGAACGTAGGCGATGTCGCACGGGAAGGTGGGGCGCTCTCGAGCAGGGTCTGCAGCTCGATGACGAGTGATTGATACGTGCTTTGCAGCTCTTTGAGTTCTGATCACCCAAATCTCAATCAGCATCTGCAACTCGGGAAGGAAAGAAGAAAGAAAACGCACTCTCGATACTCGCTGCAAACTCCCTAACCATCGTCAAATCCCTCTTCAGATTCATCTGCGCCTGGCTGATCCTCGCCGGGATCTTCAGATCGCCCATCTTAAAATCACCCAGCGACTTCCGGCGCGGGAACACCGTCTCACCGTCTCCCTCGCCCTCGCCCTCCTTCGCCGCGGCCGCAACACCAGACGGCGTAGCAGCACGCCCGAGCGACGCAGCTTGGGGCGACGTCGCCGCGGCCGACCTCATAGCCACGGGCGACGCGCCCCGATTCACGCTCATAGACGTCGCCGTGACGGTCGATGCGGACGCTTCCCTCGTACGACGGTCTCCAGAGGGCGACGGCTCACGCGGCGGGAGCACAAGCGCGTCGATATTCGGGGACGTGGAGAGGTTGATCGCCCCCGCCGTGTGCGGGCGCATGTTTGACCGCCGCGAGGAAGGCGGAGGCATGGGCGGCGACGGCGGCTGCAGCTCGATGGGCGGCAGCAGTGCTTGAGCCTGCTCGCCGGGGTGTGCCACGTTAAGCTGCTCGGTGGACTTGCGCGCCGCAGAGACACTGGGCCGCCTGGGTGTCTCGTCGTCTAGATTCCCTTGGTCCTGCTGATGCTGACCAGACGCAGCATGCAAATCGTGCGTGCTCCTCGTCCGCTCCTGACCTTGCTCCTGATACTGCACCTCCGCGACGCTCTTCTTCGCCTTCTGCTTCTTGCTCGACGCTCCCAGACTGATCCTCCTCAAACTCCCCATAAACCCCCTCCGCCCCTCCATAGCCTCCATCACCGCCTCCTTCGCCCTCGCCCGCTCCCGCTCCCTCTCCCTCTCATCCAGATCCTCCGTCCGCGGGAACACCGGAATCGGCGGCGCCGGCGAGCGCGACCTCGACCGCAACACAGACGCCCAATGCCCGCTGCGCCTATTCGCATGGCGCTGCTGCTGCTGGCTCTGCTCAGACACGCTCTCCACGCTCTCCGCGCCCGCACCACTAAAGATCCTCGACGCCGCCATCCCGACGCTCCTCGCCGACCCGTAGCTCGCATGTCGCGTGCCCGTCGACGACGACGGCGCGCGCACGCTGCCCCCGACAGCGACCTGCCCGTACGGATGTCCCTGGCTTTGACCTTGGCCCTGTCCTTGAAGCGGTGTCGGCGGCGGTGGCATCGGAATCGCCATCGACGACGGCCGCCTCGGCGCACCGTCGCCTAAGCCAGGCTTCATCCGCATCCTGGGCTTCGTGTTCCGCGGTGTACGCTCCTCCCCCCTCTCCCCGCCCTCACCCTCCCCTTCACCCGGTCCCCCCGCTTCACCCTCCCCCGCTCTCCCTCCCCTCGCCGGCGTCCGCTCCTCATCCCCACCGCCCCTCCGCCTGATATTAAACAGCCCACTCTTCCTCCTCCTCGACGGCGTACTCGGCGCCGCGCCCCCGCTTGCATGCCCCTCTCCACCCGCACTAGCGCAGGCACTGGAGCTCGCACACGCGCTAGAACTCGCATGCCCATGCCCCGACGTCGACGACGATACGCGCGAATAATACGTCGACGGCGGCGCAACAGACGACACGCCCGACGACCCCGACGCGCCCGACGCTCCAGACGCACCGCGCACGCGATCCATGCTCGCCGAGGGGCGCAGATGCCCGTGGGCGCTGTCGTCGAGGTAGCGCTGATGATGATCCCTGCGGTCGTCGTGATGATTGTCGAAGTTAGCCGCGCGCCCGGTGAGATCGTTGCTGCTGCGATTGTTGTGCGCCGGCGGCGGGGACACCGAGCCATGCCCGCCGCCAGTGCGAAAAAACCACCCTCCCCCTCCTCCTCCTCCTCCACCCGCCTTCCCCTCTCCCTTCTCCACCGCCTGCCTCTCCACCGCCCGCTCCCGCTCCTCCCCATTCACCCCCACCGAACTCGCCGGCCGCGGCGGATACGTCGTCTCCCCCGCCGCCTCGGAAGTAGACGGCAACGGCCGACTAAAATCATGACTCGGCAACTCCCCAGGCCCCATACTCGCGCGCTTATTCTTCCCGCTGCGCGCACCGACGCCCCACTTCTTCACGGATCCGATCCTCGCCAACAACGGCGTCTTCGTCCCTGGTGCACTCGTACTCGGCGATCCCACCACCGCGCTCGGCTCTTGCTGCTGCTGCTGCTGCTGCTGGTGTAGCTGTGGATACTCGCGCTGCGGCACCAACACCGGCTCGCTCGCCCTCGGCGGCGTCACCGGCCCACCCGCCACCCCAGGACCCGGCGGCGACGTCCCCGTACTCATCCCACCCGGATCCCCCGGCCTCGCCATCGGCTGATACCCGTACCCAATCGGCTCCTCCACCAGCTCAAACACGCCCTCCCCCATATGCGGCGGCCTACTCTTCTTCCTCAGCCGCCTCCTCTCCCTCTGCGGACTGTTCACCGGAAACGCGCCGAGCGAGCGCGCCGCCGCGTGATGCTGGTGCGGGTGCGGGTGGTGGTGGTGCGGGTACCCCGACGCGTACCCCGAGGACGCGTACCCGTGCGAGCTATTCGACAGCGTCGGGCGCAGCGCGAGCGCGGACGTGCTCCCGTAGTGCGACGACGACGCCGTGCCGTACGCGTTGTACCCCGCGACCGAGTTGCGCCCGCTCGTGCTCGGCACCGAAAACACGGACACGGTCGGGCTGCGCGGGAACGGCTCGACGGTGTGCAGAAAGCTCGGCAGCGCGGGCACGGGCGGCGGCGGCGACGGCCGCACGGACGGGGACGACGCGGTGGTGCCGCTGGGGGAGGACGAGGCGCGCAGCGCGAGCGAGAGCGGTGGCGGTCTGTTGGTGCGCGCTGTAACGGTCCTGTCTTCGTGTTCCCTGTCGGCGACGCCGAACTCGAATCCAAAGTCCTCTTCGTCCGACGACGGATCGTACACCGTGCGCCGCCCGCGCATGGCACCAGCGGCAGCGGCAGCGACGAGAGCAGGCCTACGGGGCGTTCCACGCGTGCTCTCAAAGTCCTCGCTCCAATCCTCCGGTTCCGGCTCCGTCTCTACCCCCAACCCCAACCCTCCTCCTCCTCCTACGCCTACACCAGGATGCATATGCGCCGTAGCCGCACCAGGCCTTGGACGCGGCGGCGTGTGATACGAGTGGCGCGTCCTGAGCGCGTGCGCACTCGGATGTCTAGAGTGTATAGACGCCGCACCCGCCGTCGACGAACCCCCCGACAGCGCATCCGAGCGCGCCGGATCCTCGAAAAAGTCGTCCCAGTTCTCCGTCACGGCCGGCGCCTTGCCTGCCGAGCGCGACTGTGGTGTGTGCGGTGCGTTCTTGCTCGGCGTCGACGGCCCCGCCTCGGACCAGCCTCCGAGTTCGAGCGGGTGCGAGATGGAGCGCTGGGCGTGGTGATGATGAAGCTGATGATGATGTTGGCGCGAAGCGGGCGGTGTGTTCTGTGTCGGTGACGATGTCGACGGCGACTGGCCTTGCGCTTGTGCATGTATTCGCGCCACAGAAGACGACGACTCGCCCACATCCATAAGCTGCATCGCAGCCGCGATCCCCGCACCCGCACCCACCTCCCCATCCTCGCCTCCCTCCCCGCCGCCATACACATACGCATCCCAATCCTCCGTCAAACTCGAGCTCGCCGTGCTCATCCTCGGCTGCTCCCCACTCGCCCCCGCCGTCGCATTAACCCGCTGCCTCCTACTCCTCACCACGGCCTTCGTCGGCGACACCGGCCCCAGCCCCCCAGCGCGCCTACGCGCGCTGCGCGTGCTCCTGGGGCTCTCGCCCGGCCCCCCGGCGATCGAGAACTCGAAGTCGTCGTCCCAGTTCTCGGATGGAACTGTCGTGCGCGTGTCCGTCCCGCGAAGGTCGGATGTATGCATGACGCAGTGCAGCGTAGCGTAGCGATAAGGGCAATAGAGAGACGAGATGAAGGAAGCGCGTCCGAACAATCACGACACCCAGCCAGCCAGACAGGTAGACAGAATCAACCAAAACAAAAACAAAAACAAAACCCAAACGTCAGCTCAGCACGAGGCGAACACGATGCACAGCACCGCACCGCACAAACACGCACCATTGCTCGGGGCAGACTGGCCCACGAGCGGGGGCATGTTCGCCCCCGCCATTCTAACAGCGATAGCCTCTCCGGGATGTCTTCACCAATAATACTTCTCTTGTTGCGTTGCAGCAGCACCGCCCAACGCGTCTTCGAGCTTCAGCTTGAATTCTAGAGAGCCTATCCTCGCCGGTCCTCGTGGTAGACTCCCAAGCCGTATAAACAAGAAGCAAGGGTCGCCTTGTCCCGAGCCCTGCACTAAATTGAAGGGCAAAAGACAAGAAACGCGCAGTTAGGGCGTGCCGAAATCTCTTGTGCCCCGATTAGGCATCCTCGGCCCGCACAGCTCCCGACCACCCCTCGAGGCAGAACTCCCACGGTCCCTCGATCAACAAACAGTCTCGCGATGGGCACGGGACATCACTTTCATTGAATGACATTGACAACAGTGAGATCAAGTAACGTGTTATTCAAAGGGAATAATGATAGCCCAAAAAGCAAATGTACCTATGTACGTACGTGCCATGTAGGGTAAGAAAACTAAAAGTGAAGTGCGGTGAGGTGAAGTGCATGTAGACTAGATACAGAGCAGTCCACAGATTACGAGGCTTGGTACATCTAAGGTAAGTGGTGGTAAGTAATAAAACTGATGGGAAGCGTCCAATGTGTGCTGTGTGTGTGGTATATGTACGTACGTGCGGCAGGAAGGGAACGTGTGCAAGCGATGTGTGGAGACAAAAATGCGTTCGTGAGTGCGACAAAGCGAGAGCAGGAGATCCAATGCGTGAGGTGAGGCGAGGCGAGGAGTGAGTAACGAGACAAGACGAGTGCAAGTGCGAGCGAGATGCAAGTGGCGAGTGAAACGAGGCGAGGCGGGGGCGTCATAAAACAACACAGAGAATCAAAACCAAAAATCATCATCTCCGTCTTGACCATCACCGCACCCGAGGCGACGCAACAGGCGTCATCTCCCCATCCCCCTCCTCCTCCTCATCCGCTTCTTCATCCTCCTCGGTAATGAAAAACTTCTCCTGCGTCCTCGACGGCCGGATCGTCTCAATAGACGCTCTCGACGACACACTCACACTCCTCCCTCTCGAGCTCCCCCGCGACACCGACCCCGCACGGGCACGCGTCTGTGGTCCCTGTGTCGACGGCTGTTCAATAACAGGAGCGACTGGAACGGGCACAGGCGGCGGGGGCGACGCGGGTTTCGGCGCCGGCTGCGACATCGACCCTGCCCGCGCCCGTCTCTGCGGTCCCGGAGCCGGCGCCGAAGCCGGTAAAGGCGGCTGAGGCTTCGACCTCAGCTTCGACACAGGCGGCGGCGGCGGCGGCTTTGACATCACCACCGGCAGCTTCAACACGGGCGGTTTCGGCGGCGGCGGTGGCGGCGAGCACGGCGGCGACGGCGGCGGACGCAGCGCGACCAACGGCGGGCGATTCAACTGCTTTTTGGCGAACCACGAGCCAGGCCCCGAGCAGCGCCGGACGCCGCCTGGTTTTGCGCGCTGGCCGTTGTGCGCGGGGCAGGCGCAGATGCGGCGCTGTTGTTGATTGAGTCGAGGTTTTGGACGGCGTCACGATCACATGGGCGAGGGGGGAACAAGTTTGACGAGGAGTTTGAGTTTGATGGAACCGCGTTTCACGATCAGAAGCAGGCAGTGAAAGAACAAAAGCATCAGCATGTGGCGTTCTGCGCGCGATGTGATAGGACAGAAGAACAACGCACATCGGGATAGCGCTCCCAGGACAGCCCGTCGAGGTCGCAGAACTCGGTCTTGACGTCCTTGAAGGAGAGAAAGAGCGCCTGGTTCATCGCCTGTGCACGCCCCATCAGCACGTTCCGCTCCACGCAAAACCAGAAGAGAAGACGCACATCGATCATGACCAGCGCCTCCTGGTCCCACTTGATCTGCTCGAGCTCGAGCATACGTACGCGCTCCATGCGCTGACGCGAGCGTGCGTCGTGTGGCGGGTAAACAGAAAGCATTCTACTTGCTTGCTTCTTCTGCGAAATCGGTACGGACGGTGTGGATTATCGGAAAGTAGGGGATAAACTATGACAACGGATGAGGGGAAAGAGCGAAAGAGCGGCGGGTCTCTCTCTTATGTAAGAAGAAGAGAAGGAGACAAAGAGGCGAGGCGATGATGGTGGTTGGGCTTCGACCCCACTGGAATGAATTTGACTCTGAGGGAGGTGCTTTGACTCTCGGACGTCCGGGAACCAGCCCTGGTGAACCTAGGCGCCGTGCGGAGGAGCGGGTGGGTCTGTGCAGGGTCTGGGTGTATGCGTGTTCGTGGTGCTTGTCCAGGCGTGGCCGCACAGGAGGCAGCTGGCACCCTCAAGCTTGGACTCGGTGATGGGAGATTGGTGCACGGACAATTGCAGCGAGATTAATGGAGAGGGCGCAGGAAGGCGGCGGAACGGGTGGAATGAAGCTATGTAGTGCCTATCAGGCAGGCCCCGTTCCAAATCGGACGTCGGTCGATGAAAGTCAAATATCACTGAGTCGGAGTCTGTGTTTCAGCCTAAGCCAGCAGTGAGATGAAAGTAAGAAGAGAAATGTAAGGAGTGACGGAAGGCTGCAAAAGCCTAAAAAGACGGGAAAGGGAAGTTGGGTGAAGGGAGAGAGGGATGATGACAGCAAGCGCGGAGGGGATCAAGCAGCGGCCAAACGACGAGCCAAGCCTCTAGACCGTCGGACCTCGGAAATCCCTAGCCGACGCAGGCACAACGTCACACTCACGTCACATCCACGCTGACTCACCCCCCGTTAGCCCCATCGTGATTGGCCGCGTGCACCCGTCACACCGCGTTTACGTCACAAACGCGCTCGCGCACTTTCCCGAGCGGGGGACCAAATGTAGACGCCTACACTTCAAACTCCGCTCAAAAAGGGCGATACGCGTCGAGAGGCGTGTTTAGTTGACTGCGTCGTCCTCTGCACGCGTCTCCCCGCCTCCCGCCTCTCCCATCTTCACGTCGCGCTCTCCCTCTTCACCGATCACCCACCATGCTTGAAGCCAGACTCCGCGAAGCTGCCCTGCTCAAGCGTCTTCTCGACTGTACGTTTTCCTCTGCTCTCACGCCAGGACGCGTGATGAGTGGGCCCAGAGAGAAAACTGACGAACGACGCGTACAGCCATCAAGGAACTCGTCACAGACGCCAACTTCGAGTGCAACGAAGAAGGAATCGTGCGTTCTCCGCTCCACCTTGTTCTCTGCCCTCGCACACTTCACTAATCTCATGACGCGCCGTGGCGGCAACAGTCCCTGCAAGCGATGGACAACTCGCACGTCGCCCTCGTCTCAGTCAAGCTCGACGCGCTCGGCTTCCAGCGCTACCGCTGCGACCGCCCTATCCCGCTCGGCGTCAACCTCGCCTCGCTCACCAAGGTCCTCAAGTGCGCAAAGGACGATGATATCTGCGTCGTCAAGTGCTCCGACGACGCCGACGTGCTCAACCTCACATACGAGGCGCGCAGTGCGTCTCCTCCCCTCCTTCTCTCCTTGATAGATAGCAAATCTGACGCGGTGATAACGCGCGTCCCTCACAGGCTCAGACCGCATCGCCGAATACGACCTCAAACTCATGGACATCGACTCGGACACACTCGGCATCCCAGACACCGAATACGACGCGCGCGTGACGATGCCCGCGTCCGAGTTCACGCGCATCGTGCGCGACCTCTCGCAGCTCGGCGAGTCCGTCCGCATCGAGGTCTCCAAGGAGGGCGTGCGCTTCGCCTCCGACGGCGAGGCCGCCAACGGCAACGTTCTTCTCAAGCAGACTGAGTCTGCGAGGGAGAAGTATAAGGATTATGGGAAGGACCAGGAGGAGCCTGAGCCGAAGGAGGAGGGGGATGATGATGATGATGAGCCGAAGGAGGAGGACGATGAGGATAGGGAGGAGGGGAGCAGTAAGGGGAAGAAGAAGGTCAAGAAGGAGAAGGTGGGGGGTAAGGTGAAGAAAGAAGCTGCAGATGATGTCGATATGGACGATGCAGACGAGGACGAGGATAAGGAGAAATCGGACGACGGGGAGGAGGAGAAGGACTCGGATGACGAGGACTCCTCATCCAAGAAGCGCAAGCGGCCTACAACCGTACGTCCCCTCCCCCACTCTCCCTTCTTTCACCCAGCTGACGCGAACGCAGAACGGCAAGCCCGCAAAGAAAGCCAAGAAGGGCGAGCAGGGCGGCGCCCCCGCGGACGACGGCGGCGTGTTCATCGAGATGAACCAGCACGTCGCGCTCACCTTCTCGCTCAAGTATCTCGTCAATTTCTCCAAGAGCCAGACCCTCTCCAACACCGTCCAGCTCATGATGAGCAGCGATGTGCCATTACTCGTGCGTTTCTGTTCGCTTTTTTTATCTCTGTACTCTGCGTTTTCATTGCTATTCGCGTTTTCGCGTTCACCTGCTTTCTTTTTTTCGCGTTTTTAATTTCCCTCGCTCCGTTGACTTTATGTCAATTTATCAATTTATCAATTTATTTTATTATTCATTCTCTTCTTTTTGTTCGTTCCTTTCTCCTTCCTTCGTTTGACCCACTTCCTTCACTCCCTTCTTTCCTTTCCTTGGTTCATATCGTCGAACGCACGTTGACACGCTTTCACCTCTCCCAGTGCTCGTACAAATTCGGCCAGGGCGAGATCAAGTACTACCTCGCGCCTAAGATCGGCGAAGAGTAAAGCTAGCAAAGGGGAATCGACAAAAAGGAGGGCCGTGGTTTGTTCTCGTGCATCTTGAATTTTTTTCTTCCCATCTCTCGTCTCGTCTCATCTCGTCCTTGTTCTCAGCCAGAGTCATACGTATATCTGTATCTATCGACCGTTTATCGCGCAATTATAATTGACGTTCACGCAGAGGAAGCTTTCATGGTCACAGCATCTGTCTGCCAAAAACGCGTCGTGTTGAACGATACCTCCGCATCGTCAAGGCTAACAAGAAGTATGCCGTAAATATGAAACTTAAGGCCGGAGAGGGAACACCTATCGTATGATGACATCGAAGCTCCTGGTTGAGTCTTGCGCTGACAAGAACGCCCACACTGGAACTCTAACGGTCCCATGATGCCATCCATGGCATGGTATCAAGCCGTCTGGTACGTCCGTTCACCCCTTCTATATAGTTGAGAACTGCGACATTTGACGTAATGCTAAGGCTCAACTTAGATTCATGACCTTGCGAGTAATTTTTCTCAAACTGCCATTCGGATGTGATCATCGAACACCTCTTTCCACTCGCGTTACCAAGTCTGTAGGCGTATATGATAGTTACATATAATGGGATTGTAGAATTCGTCGTACTACTACCAGTCGCACTGATCGTAGTAATCAATCTCGGTGTTGAGCAGTCGTAAAGTGATACGTTTCTCAGTGTCCCCCGGCTTCTCTAACGCTATCGTCACTCGTGTTCCATTAACCTTGAGCCTCAGGCCCCTAGAGCTCAACAGTGTCGCGAGTTCTGGTCGATATCGCGCCGGAAGCCAGCAAATCCTGCGTCGCCGCTTCTTCAACCAGCCATTGCGATCCAAACAGAGATCTGACCACGACATGACGTCGAAGAAAGCGAGTGGATCGGCGTCGCTATCGACCTCGTAGGTTACCTCTTCTTCTGCGTCTGCACTGCGGGGCGCAGAGCATAGTGCCTGCGTGGGCCGAGCATTCATGGCATATATATGCTCATTCCTGCCCAGGTAGATCCGTCTGGAGTGTGGCGAGCTCCAGAACAGCGCGGAGCATATTTCGCCCTCAGGACACGGGAAAGCTCCGATCGTGACCATTGTTGAAGACGCCCGCCTCCACCGCAGATGGCGTAAAATTGACGACTGGTACCGATTCCAATGCCAAAGCTCCACAGTCTCGCGTGTTACAGAAGAAGGACAGCAATAATATATGCCAGGGCCGTCCACAACCAGGAGAGGAGCCGCTAGTTTTCCTTGGGGCGTAATGTGGAATTCTTGAAGATATACCGTGGATACAACAGCGGTGAACACAATGGCGGCAACACATTGATCTGTGGAGAACTGGACGTCGACGAGATAAGGCGACTGCGCCTGATAATAAGTTGATAGTGCCTTTACAAGTCCTAAGTAGGCGCCTGATTTAAGCTCCCAAAAGTGAACTTGAGTTCCCGTAGAAGGATGAAAGTCTGCGAAGAAAATCAGCTTTGACTTCGGAGAGATTTGGGCTACCAGTGGCTCCTTGCTGATCGGGGGATCCGGTACTATCTCCTGCAGGACTCTCCCTGTTAGCGTCTCGGTAACAACGATGCAGGACCTGTTCAGTCTCCAGGTCGTATACGCCTCAAACTCTCCATCTCGTGATTTGCATAGGAACTTGTAAACTTTTCCAGCTACCCTCTCCGAGGTTGGCGTAGAGTGCGCCGTCTTCGTTGATTGGAATGGATCCTGATGTGCTGCTTGGACGAGGTCAACGACCGAGACTTGTCTGCCCTGGTTTCTAAACTCGACACCAAAGCACTCATCCTCAGAAGATCTCCAGCGGGAAGACCCGCGCCTCGTTAGACCTAAAATCTCGCCGCCCAGCAGAACTCCTACAACTTCTTTCAGTGGCGTATGTATAACTTGATCGCTTCCGGTATCAGGTGGAGAACAAAGTCTTGGTCGGATTGGCTCGCTCGTCCAGGAACCCTTGCGCAAGTGAGAAGGCTCCGTTTTCCTATCGTCCTTACGCAACAGCCTGCTAAGCCATCGTTTTGGTCTATTAGAGCCGCTGTGCCACCTTCGGCTTCCCCTGGAAGAAGACACTTCACTAGGAACGGTGGTATCTTGTGCGGTCGAAAATAATAGCAGAGTCCCAGGGCTTCCTTCTTGTTGATTGGGCTGGATAATCTGAAGGATTTGATCATTAAAGGGACCAAAAACGTGCCAATCACCGCTGCAATGGGGTAATTGTTCCAAGAAGTTGCCATTGGCGGGATCGATGACAAACGTTCTTCCAGACAATGGGTCGTGCAGCAGAAGGAGGTCATCGTTAAGAGAAAAGCTTGCCGTAGCCCCGGGAAAGAAAGGCCTGTCGTTGATCGAGAATTGCGATATCTGTTCGCAAGTCCTCACGTCATATATCCGAATGGTAGACTTCAAATTCGACATTGGGTTATCAATGCTAAGGCAGGCAAGCATCGTCCCGCTATGGGAAAATGCAAGGGGGATGTCTCGCCTTTCGGCGGATGGCTTATGGAGTGGGGATAGTAACCCGGTAGCTGGCCTCCAAAGAGAGCACGGAGAGTCGCCACAGACTACTGCGATAATAGTGCCGCCGTGGAGCATTTCAGTTCCAAAGTACCGATCGTGACTCGGAGTCGTCGGAGGGTCGAGTGCGAGATGACCAACAAGTAACCCAGAAGCTGTATCCCACACACCCACAGATGATAGGAAGACGCAGGCAACCTGCGAGCCATCGGGGGACAGAGAGAGGTCACTGAAAGTCTCCTCCATCTCAATAACACGCGTAACACAATCCCAATCATTATCCAGCCCTTCTTCAAACACAAACGTACTCGCTTCTTCAAGCACCCAGCTATAGGTACGGCGGATGGCTGATTTCAATGGGCTGCATGGGAGGGCCGACTCGTATACGTGGAGGGCGGATAAGCGAATTGCGTCGAAGAAGTCGAGAGTCAAACGCCAGCTGTCGTACAACAGCGCGACTACGTGATCCTTGCGCGGGAACAAAGCTGCAGGCCAGCTCTGGCTCAGCCGTATTCAAATTAGTGCGTGGAACACAGCGTTTAGTCGACATGTCTCGCACCTTGTTGATAAGTTTTCGGGCAGATCTGAAAAGCTCCACTCCGGCGCCTAGTTCGCCGAGGACCGCGTAAGCTTCTATCACAAACATAATTTTTCCATCGACGAAATCAAGAAGATGTCCATGCACCTCTTCATCCGGTACAATCTCTCGAAGATGATGAAGCCAGTATAGACAGGCATATCGAAGTGAACGAGGAATCGCCGCATCACGCCTCTCTGCAAAATCAGCGATATCACTGTGCATCAAGGATGGATCCTGAAGTCCGCAGATGTCCCGCTTGAGCAAATTGCCCATTATTTCGAAGCAGCGACAAGATAGATAACGGTGAGAGAGAGCAGTGTCAGTCTGGTCATCACCATGCTTGTGGAGTAGAAAATCGCGAAAGGACGTGTGGTATATCTGAACTGGGTCGAGAGAACCTACGGAAGGGATGGAAAGTAGAGCTGAAAAGGGCAAGAGACACGAATGAACATCTGTGACCCTGAAGAACTGTTGTAAATCGGGGACGGCAAGGGGTTCGGCTAGGTTGACAATGAAGGAAAGGTATCGTAGCCCGCTAGAGCGAGTGAACTCGTCCATGTCGTTGATGATGGAGGCGTACAAGTGGTCGATCCCCCAGACGCCAGCTACACCGCCACGTAGCATTCTGCAAATCAAGGACAGGCGGTCAAGGGGCTGCCTCTGGTTAAGTAGCCTGACGATAGTTGCCGCAAAGATGAAACGACCGCCTGCACGCTCACACAACGTCGTGAAGTCGCGCTCCGGTGGCCACGGCTGAGGGCATAATGCGACGAGATCGTGAGTCTTGTATATCTGATCAAACGCGTGTCGAAAGAAGAGGGCGACGTCCTCTCGGGAGTCAAAGTCGCTGATTAGCACGGTCTTGACAACACTCGCAAGATCCGCACTATTCATGACCGCGCCGATCTGAGGCCATGGCCTGCTCGTGATGAGAATGTTATGGATACGAAGGGAGACGTCATGGATCAGACGACCAAACAAGAGAATGAATGGTTTGAGATGATGGGTCCCGTTCGCGGTGCCCTCGTCAAGGGCGTCCAAGATGATTGATATACCAGCTCTGCCTTTCCAAACAGACGATAGATGCTTCAATGGCTGAATGACGAGCTTTTCTAGCAGGTCGTAATGCGACTTTTCTGGAGACAACAGAGCGGGGTCGTCGGTGATAGCCTTCATGATGGACTCCCGGGCACGAGGATGATGCAACCCGAGTTGATATGCAAGGGTGAGAAAGACATAATGACAAGTGCTTCGTTTAGTGTGCTTTCTTGAAAAGAAAAACGTGCCTGCCAGCTTGCCCTGCTGTCGCAGCTCGTCTGCTAATGTATGCGCTACCGTCGACTTCCCCGACCCCGACTCCCCGGAAACCCATACGATCTTCCGCGTGCCGTCATCAACGAGTGTATGCAATGTCTGGAGGAGGTTGACTCTGGTACCGGGAAGACACTTGGAGTGCGGCTGACGTTCACTTGAGTCGTAGACAGCGCCTTGGGCGCACTCTTGGGCTAGTTTCTGCCATGCGTCACTGTGAGCTGGATTTATAGCTAGGTTTACCATCAGCTACGTAAGAGTTGGAAGTTGCGGAGACGAACCTTGTGCCATGGTGTGACAGTGGTCAAGCCTGGGCGCTTGAGCGAGCTCACAGCAATCAGGATTGCGGTTGCGTGCACAGCAGCCTCGTCGACCCCCTGACGGCAACTCGCGGAAAGTTCGGCTCGGTGTGCCAGTTGCTTTCCGTTCCGCGACGGCACCGCGTCCCGAGTCAAATCTTCGTGACGAATGATGACTCTCTTCTGCAGAGTAGCCCAAATACATCTGCCTTATCGATATCCATCCCTCGCTCCTTTCATTTCTCGCACATTTGCAACCGCTCCCAAAGCCCGACCTAAACCTTCGAAACACAGATACCAAAACATGGCCAAGAAGACCAGGCCGAGCAGACAGCACCTCATCACTCCTCAGCACTCGACTGCGTCACATATCCCCATCATCGATACGCATACGCATCTACATGCGACGTTCTCATGGTATACCGAGTGGTACCTGAAGCACTTTCCCTCCAAACCAAACTCCCTTTCTCCCGCTGCCAACGGTGCCGTCGATGCGAACCAGGTACCAAAGTATGACACCATACACGAGTTCGTGCAGGGCGTCTATGAGGGAAAGAACGTGAAAGCCATTGTGGATGTATGGTGCGAGGCACCACCACTTCTGGGGGAATGGCGGAAGCTCGCAGACTCGGCACTTACAGAGGAAGAAAGGCGGAATAAATGGGGCGGCATTGAGTACTGGTTCGTCATGGGTGCGTCTCTTCGCTTTCGCCTTACCTCTTTACCATGGTCGCTGACGTGTTTGCCGCGTGCCAGGCGTTCACCCGTAAGCATTTGGCCTGCATTTAAGGGTACGGGTTTACCTGACTGTCTCGTTGGGACCTCTAGGCACAATGCTGGGAGATATACGGACAAGATAGGACAGCAAATGTATGTCTTGTTCCTATCACCAGTTCCTATTCATGCCGTTCCCCACTAAATCATACTATGATGACAGAGTCGAAGCCATGTCCCACCCACGCTGCGTAGGCTGGGGCGAGATCGGCCTCGACTACGCGCGCGGGCCCAAGAACCCTGACGACCCCGCTGAACATGAAGCTCTTGCGAAGCGACATGCATGGCAGCGGAAGGTGTTCGAGAAGCAGCTGAGGCTCGCTGTGCAGTGTGGCAAGCCGCTCACAATTCACACGCGCGAAGCTGAAGAGGACACGGAGCGCATAATGAAGGAGGTGCTGAGTGAGCATCGTGATTGGAGAGTGAGTTTGTTGTTGTCGCGCTCCGTCTCTGCTGGCGATTTTGTCTGACGCGAAGCTCGATCGTGCTGTAGATACATATACACTGTTTCACGGATTCGCCAGAGTTCGCTCAGCGGCTATTGGATCACTTCCCCAACTTGCATATCGGCATCACAGGTAGGAAGGAATCTGTATCTGTGCCAACTTAAGTTACTCACCTTGCGATACTCAGGCGTCGTCTCGTACAGCTCAAACCTCAATACCACTGCCCTCCTCCGCCAGATGTCATCGTCCTCTTCATCTACAGCTTCCGACTCTCCCGACACCATCGCCACCAGTTCGGATAAGGATTCTCGCCTACGCATCCTCCTCGAGACAGACGCGCCTTACATGGTCCCCGCGAACATTTACAAGTCCCTCCCGGACTTCAAGGGTCGCCTGCCACTGTGCCACACTGCCATGATACCATGGACCGCTGAGCATGTGGCGGGCGTCGTCGGCTTTGGTGACGGGGAAGAGCAGAGTGGCGCAGAAAAGATCATGCGGCTCGCGAACGAGAATGCAGAAAGGGTGTATGGGCTCACGGTTGTCTGAAATGTAAGATGAGGTGCGCATATACTCAACACTAGATATTGATACCATGCGACACTCTGGCCATGCATGTCCGTAGATTTAGACGCCATAGATCTAGAGTTATAGTGGGGGTGGGCAATCGCCGTGCCAGAAGGAGCGCGGGAAATTTGCCTAGCTTACCGCTTCGGGACGCCGCCTTTGTGATCATCTTGGCGGCCTGAAAGTGAGCGGCAGTCTATGGGATGGAACTGACCACACCAAAGAGATATCTACGATCTAACTATCTGGTCGTCAAGTAGATTAGGTTTTCTGTATTTTGTAGCGATGAATTTTTGCAAGTCATGATATTGGCTGAATTGGAAGCCAATTAGGGTGCTGCAGGGAGGCTATCTTTTGCTCAAGTGCGATTTGGGATATTTCATTGCAACAAATAGGAGAATTAGGGCTAGCAAACCAGGATATGTCCTTAATAGTGCACTAGATTGAGTGCAAGGGTCTTGGCTGAGCGGACTAGAACTTGGGCGCGAACGCGTATGTGGCTGTGCTGACGCGTTCCCCAAGTGCAGACGCGTCACGCATCCAGTGTTCAAGCGCGTTTTTTGACGGCATCCCACAAGCGTTTGCTACGATATTTCATATGCGTTAGTGTCTATATATCAAGACATAGATATTACACCTAGATTTAACACCTAAAAAGACCATATCATCATCTAACTAGAGTACCTACTAGGTGAGAGGCATGTCGCCGACCAAAAACTTGAAGAAGAGATCTGCCAAGCAGGCGGCAACCTTTGGGAAGGCGAAGAATAAGAGGTGGACTGGGGATAGGAATGGGGATGAGAATGTGGTTAGCCAGAGCAAACAGCCATCACCACGGCACACCCGTGCAACTGAGAAAACAGCGCGAGAGGAGTTGGCAGAGTGTCGCAAAGTAGTTTCACGTGCGGACAGAACAATCAGGGACATTGGAAACAGGTTATCAAGCACGCAAGGAGACTTACATGCTGCACTCAGGGAACAAGAAGCAACAGCCAGAGCACTTGTCGAGAAAGATGCCGAGAACACGCTACTCCGACAGGGTCTTGAAGAGACTAAGGTTGAGCTTGATGAACAGGGTTGGGACTTGGGAAAGTCAAAGGTCGAGTTAGCAGAAACAAAGCAGCGGATTGCAACAAACAAGGAGAAGGAAATGAAGACTATCCGACACCTAAGCACTTCAAGACAAGCTCTCCAGCGTTCAAAGGACTCAAAGCAGAAGCTTGAACGTGCCCTGAAGCAGCTTGAGGGGTGTACCATCCCAGGTTTGCAACAAGGAGCTGCAGCGGCACTACAGCAGCAGCAAGTTGTGCATGCACACAAAACCGGACAACTTCGCATGGAGCTAGGCACTTGTCAGCAAGAGAAAAATCGCCTCAAAAAGCAAGTTACTGGTCTGCAGAACAAGGCACGCTTGTTCCAGATGCGAGCTCTGCGGGCAACGCGTGCACATGCCAAGGGGAAAAACATTGGTCCAACATACCAGGGGGTTACAATGAAGCGGCTTCTCACTCGTAAAGGGCCTGGCAGGGCTTATTCTGGTGACCTGCGTGGGGTTGTCCGCAAGTTGGGTGGATTAGGGTGTGCACGAAGTGCTATTGGAGATATTGTGCACACAGTTCTTGGGTCAGCCGGAGTTGATACATCAAGCAAAATCAGCCGGCGTACCGTATCAAGAATGGTGTTGGAGGGAGGAGTGGCTTCGCAGATACAGGTCGCTCAGGAGATGAAACAGGCAACTGGTGAGCCAATATATCCCACTATTCTGTATACTAAACCCACTCACATAATTGATAGCCATTACTATTAGCTCAGATGACACAGGCCATCGCGCTGTGAATTACAGTGCAAAACATGCCACCGTGACAACACGCGAGAACGATGGCAGTGTTAGCCACCACATCCGCTTGCTTGGGGTTGATTCAACACTTGATCACTCGAGCTTGAGGCAAGCAAACGACTGGGAGCATAAAATACGTACTTTGGCAGCCCTTTACAATGAGTTCATCACTGTGGAGGAGGCCGATTCGGAGAGCAGCACTGGTAAAACATTCAATGTCCTTGAATTCACGCGCAAGCTCAAAGGGATGCACGGTGATCATGCGGCCGATCAAAAAGCAACGTTCAAGTTTATTCAAGAATGGAAAAAGCGGAATGCTTACCTTGGGCTGGGATACGAGCTTCTCGATACAGGGAGCTATCCCTCTGACAATCCTGCATATGCGAATACCTGGCAACAAGCCAGGGAGACGCTTGCACGGGAGGTTGGAGGCGAACAGGGTTGGGCCAAATTGGCACCAGAAGACCAGGCTATGCATAACGCGAAGATGGTACACGATGTTGCGATGGAATGGGGGAAAACCAAGGGGTACTCAATTTTAGAAAGTTGCAAAGTGGGTTAGTAAATTTTGTAGCACCATCTCGGCACCCTACCCCCCCACCCCCCCTTCCATATATAGAAGTCGTTACCCCATTTAGAGCTACTTGACATCATACATGCGGGATCTCTAAACATACGATGCAAACATACGAAATCCGGCGAAATGAAATGAAATAGACATAATAGACACTGTGTTCTACCTCCTGCCGCCGCGCTTGGCCTTTTTGAACGGCCGAACGTGCGATGTGCACCTCCAATCAGCTTCAACATGGTCTAGATACATACAGGTAAGGTGGAACTGAGAAAACGTTCGAGTAAACGTTGAGTTAGTATGCGACAAGACAACAAGACATAAGCAATACATACCCATCCGGTTTCACAGCGATCGTATTTGCACCGAATTGCCACGCCGTCCTTAATCTCTTTCTGCGTTACGACTTTATCGCAGTCACACGCGCGCAGCATAGTATTGAGGTCGCGTTTGCGACTCTTCCTGCCAGCACGCGTGACGACGTCGTTCTCGACAAACGCCGGGGCATCCAGGGATTCTTCGAGTACGTTATCTGTGTATTAATACTCATTAGACACGTTAGAAAAAAGGATAAGATGTATTTACCGGCGCCGTTCTCGGCGTCAGATGGGCGTGATTCAAACATGCCATCATCGCCGTCAATATCGTCTGCAGGGAGGGACTCCTCTTCCTGCGCTTCAAGTTCTTGTAGAGCCTCGGATCGTGATTCATCCTCGTTTGACTCGATCGCGAGGCGGGAAGTGCGATGGGCGTCCGATACAGCAAGTGTGGGTGCTTGATAAATCTTGCGCGACTTGCGGGATTTGTGGAAGCGCCTCTGCCAGATGTACTTCTCGACGTTGTTGACCTCGTCTTGAGGAGTCGTGTACTTCGCGATGAGGTGGGGTAGTAGTTGAGAAGACGCGTGGTGGATTCGAAGGTGGGCAGCCATAGAATACTTCCATACAGCCGGATTTTTTACAGCTAGCTTGTTAGTCGGGGAGCAAATCGGACAGGCTACCGGCACGTTTGTGCATGGCGCGCTCTCGCTTGAGCTAGCAGCAGAATGATAGGAAAAATAAACGGGGTTGGGACACGACGAGCGGGTTACGTCCACCTGAAACGAGCTACCAGAACCTTTTGTGGGTCGTAGGTAAAAGACGCACCCGGACTTGGTTATAGGTTGCATACAGAACCCACACAACTCGGCCGTGTGATCTAGGCCGTCGTCGCAGAGGATGTGGGCTCCGACGTGTTCAATCATCCGGGGCCCGCTGTCGCGCTGCCACTCAAACGTCGGGCGGCAGCGAGGGCACACGTCTACAGCGTGGTCAATGGTGTTGAGGTGAGCGGCTTTGTCGACGTCGATGGCGAACGCGGCACGACCTGTGGGACCATCAGCACACATGGAACTGGAAAATCTCATGAAAGAACGCTGCTGAGACTCACCTCCGGACCTGTATGGAAAAAGCTCATGGGTGGGCACGGATGGGAGGCGAGACAGTCCGGGGGCTGAGCGAGAGATCTGAGCATGCACACTGAGTGCGAACGCCTGCAAATCCGCCGTAGAGAATAAGAATGTCGGCGAAGCCGGATAAGTGGGATCCAGGTTGGGATTAATGACCTGGAAATTGGTACCAGGTGACGATTTTAGAACTCTACCCATCTTTCCCGCCCACTCCCAATCCTCGGACTCCGGACCAAGATTAGTCAGTGACCGCTCGGTGAGAATCAAGACCTGAGCGGTAATGGAGATGCCTTCTTCTCCCAACGCGCCGGCTGCAATCTCCACCACAGGGCTCGAGTGGAAATGAATGGCCGAGATCTGTGCTACAGCCAAGAATAGACGAGAATCCGCCTTCACGAGTGTGACCAGTGGCTCACCAATGAACAGCCTGGCATCACCAAAGACAGACAAGGAGTTGATGACGTTTGTATCAATCTCCGGTGCAGCAGTGAATCGCAAAAGCCCTGCAACACGCTTGAGACGATCTGTGGAGCCAGCAGACGTGATGAACCGGAAAAGTTGACGGAGAACTCGAGCCTTGTATACAGGTTTACCCTCCACAAGCACATGCGGAGAGAACACCTTGCGTTCTTCAGCCAGCTCGATGCCTACGCGGTCCTCCATGTCTAAGTCATCCGTTTCGGGCTGAGGCGTGGAGATAGGAAGTGGGTCGTCTTCAATGATATCCTCGGGGTCAGGGTCGGCAAGATACGAGCCGGGAGGTGAGCCGTCGGGGAACAGGAGATCACCGCCTGATGCCTGGATGCGACCAAAACACTCATGCACGCTGTAGCTGATGTAGTCGCGCTCAATGGTCTCACGGCCGTGTGTCCATGAGGTAATGGGGAGGATGTGTTCGAGGCTGACATTTCCTCGCCAAGATGCCGGGTTGATGTGATCGACCTTGGCACTGAGCTCCTCGTCGCTTGATAAGCCCGGGAGTCTGAGTCGTCGGGGAGTGGTATTCCACTCTGGATACTCTGCAAGGACCTGGCCACTCTGCGTAACATGAGCTATCCGGGTGCCTAGCTGGATCATATCGGCATTGGCGTCATTGCCAACGATCGTCCGGTAGATCCCAAAAACAATCTCCAGACGGTCAGTGCCAAGCATGATTATATAAAAGCGCCCAATCGGGCGGTCCACTTTTGCCTTCGCCACGCAGAAGAAAACGTTCTTGATGAGTATTTGGATATCAGTGTATAACGGCTTGGGTAAGAATGCAGTGCCACCACCCGGATGAGTGTAGAGACTACAGGCAAGGTGAGCTGCGGCACTGAGATGGCTAAGCTGTTCAGATAAAGACATGTCGAGATCAACGTATGGGGTTATGAGGTGCCTGAGAAAGTCACCGAATATACGGATATGCTTCCGTGCGGCGATGACAGTCGGTCGCGTGCTAGATGTTTCGGGAAGGTCCCAGATGGACTTTAGTAGGCTGACTGCAAGAAGAACGTCCTGCTTGTCATTGGGGTTCATTAAGTTCTCGACCTGGTGAGGTGCCAGCCCACCAGAGCGTAGGTGCCAGTTGAGGGTGGAAGGGGTGATGTTGTACTCGTAGATAGTGATTCCCTTCTCTCGGAGAATGGCACAGCGAACTCGTTTCATGATAACGTGTTTCCAATCCTTGTCGGAAGTGATGTCATTGTCACCGACCAGGTTGTTCATGAGAGCCAGCTTGCCGACATATGGATATATCGGCGATGAGGGGGCAAGCTTTCGTTTGTGTGTGAGTATGACGAGTGCTGCGCCGCGACGGGCTTCTCCATCAGAGGCGATACTATACAATCACCCTGGAATCTTCTCGCGCTCGCACGCGTCAATCACAGTCTGAAGAAGAGTGGCATGCGTAGGTGCGTTCTCCGTCTTGCACGTTCCTGACACCAGAATAGGACGTGCCGCATGGGTCTTGGAGTCGCCCGCGAGAAGCCCTATTGCAGCAACCGTGGCCTTTTGGGCAACACCGGTGAGTAACCGACATGCTCACATGAACCATCACTCACCTCGACCGCCAACCTCACTTTGCCATCTGCGACCGCCTTAACAAGGGCATATGCCTCCGCCTCGGAACAGAAATCCAGCCCAATATTATCTGCGTCCTCTCTCGCAACCCCAATTATCTTGTTCGTCACATCATCCCAGCGCGGACGGCTCTCCACCTTAATCTCGTCGACCAAAAGCTGGTAGCCATAGACCTCATCAGCACTTGACGCGGAGGACTCGGTGAGCCCCAATGACCCATCTGCGAACGAATTTCTAATGTTGTAGCAGACCTCATCAATTGTAGGGAATCCGGCTGAAACACGGAGTGGAGGATTGACTGAGCATTTCCGGATCGTGCTCGTCGCAGGTGCGCCTGTTGCTTTGTGATAGATATCGAGAACACGAGGGCCACCTAGACGTAGGATCACCAAGCAAAGCTTCTTCTCCGCTGTGGAGAAGCTCTTCGGACTGTAAAGGCCTTGCGTGGCCTTGTCGAGCTGCTCTGTCATCTTCCGCACTGACATTCCATTGTTTATACAGACCTGGATGAGCGTGTGCACGCGCGAGAAGTCGCTGTCGGCCACCGCGAGAAGAAACTTCTTGTGGTCATCGAGGGAAGAAGATTTGCGAGCAAGACTCTTCGACATGTTGACACGGCCGAGTCTCAGCGCCTGGATCTGGAATGTCTTCACTCGGATGATGGAATGGAGGCCGCTTATCGGCTGGAAGACATGGGGTGTGTTTTCGTGGACGCCATCCCTCATTCGTCTCATTATTGATATAAGCTGACCATTATTTTCGAGATCTCTGCACGCCGGACATGCCACCCCCGCCGTCTTCATGATACCCGCACACTTGCTCGCGGTCAGCCAAATCCGGCGCCCCTCTGTGCGAACCAACCACGGCAGCACCAACCGTGTGTGTAGCGCGAATGGGTACACCATCACGCCCCACTGCCCACCTGGCACCGGCAGCTCGAAGCCAACGCAGGCGAACGAGCACCTGTCGTCAGGCATTGAAGTCGGCGTGTTCCCTGCGCTGCTGTGGCCGTGCACCTCGTCTTGACCATCATCGCTGTCATCAATGACGATGAGCTGCGGCGAAGAAGGGCGCGTAGACGTTGACGAAGAGGCACCTGAAGTCGGAGCAGCTGGTACCGCCGTCGACAGGGGGATAGGGACCGGATTCACCGGCATGGTCGCCAAACCGTCAGTCGCTGACTCGTTGACCAACAACGGGTCTATAACGCCAGCGCGACCACTGATACAGGTAAGCTGCGATTCCATCGATTCGGTTTGGACACTCACTACGACCCGATCGCCCTCAGAAGCCGCCCGACTTTCCCTTCGACCAAGCAGGGATCAATCTCCTTCTCAATCAAGATGAACTCGAAGAAGTTGAGTACCCCATCCATCCCGGCGTCTCCTCTCCGAATGAGCGTTCTAATCTCTTCCTCCAGCCTTCCACCTCCGAAAACAACGTTCATCTGCTGATCGGCATCCTCCCAGACAACGCCAGCGTCCATGTCCCGGTAGGTGTCTGCCCAGGTCTCGAAAACGGCGAGCTCATCGCTCTTGCATGCAGTTGGAATAGAACTCGGCATGTGGGCCACAGCATCGCGAAGGGTCGACAGCAACTCGTTGGCTAGTGGTGGCGGAGCCACTCGGGTGATGGCTAGCTGAGATGGAGGATTGGAGGGCAAGGGCAAGGGCGAGGGCGCTGGCTGAGACACGGCGCTGGAGGGCAGATGGCCTGGTTGACTCGGAGGGAGGAGGGGAATCCCTATCTCGAAAAGGGTGCGTTGCTTCATCAGCTTCTTCTTCTTCGTCTTCTTCTTCGCTTCGTCGTCCTCTTCTTTTACCTCCTTCTCGCGTTGCTTTTGCCGCTGCTTACATCTCTTGCTGTCCTTGTGCATGTCCATATTCTTGCTCCCTGCAGTCCCGACAGTGATCTGCTGCCCGCAGAGTGGGCATTCATCCGTGTCAGTGGCCTTTGGCTTCACTGCACCCAAACCGGCCGTCTTCAGCACAAGATCTTAGTGGGTTATATACTTTGCTATGCGAGGTGCGTACCTCCTCAGCCTCTTGGGTGGACATGCTATTGAAGATTGCTGTTGTTTTACTGGGTGATGCGTGGTAGATTGAGGGCGACGTTTAGGACAATCCACGCGCGTTACGATAACTCATCCAATTGCCAGGCTACTCTAACCTAGACTACAAATCTGTACTATAAAACGTAGTACTCCTCTGCTGCCCAACTGTTGCCATTCCGTGACGCGGCATCACCAAATCACCAGCGATATGGACGCTCTGGAGCTCCAGATAGGGGTTAAGTCTCCTCTTTTGGACAATCACGTGCAATTCCTGGCCTCAGCCAGCGAATTCCCTAAGGACAGGCTGGTATACCCCCCCCCCTAGACCCTATATACAGTAACCGAGTCCCGAGTACCCCTTGGGGAAAACTCACTTCCCTTCCCTTCCTGACGACGAACGACGGGAGAGGCTCTTGATGGTTCGAGCGGGGTGCTGCATGCACAAGGATTTGAACTGTGTTAAAGGGGGGAATACAGCGATGATGGCTTACTGGGAGAAAGCGGGGGTGAAAGGCCCTATTCCACTGCCAAACCGAGATAACGCAGCGGTTCTTCGAGACGTTGAAGGAGACGAAGAACTCACTGAAGCACAACTCCGGGCTGTTAATGTAACAACTTGTGGTGCCGTCAAGACGACTAATCTGGCTGGGGCGCTGTTCAATCACAAGGACGACAAAAAGGGGCTTCAAGATATTCACCGGCAGTTTATGGAGCAAATCGTAGAGACAGGGGAGGCAACCACATTTCCTGACACTAGCAATACACGCTACGGAAGCCATTGTGAAGCTGCAGCATGGCTTATCACATGGCGTCAAGAATATCGCAAACTCCTCGAGGAGGTACGCGACAACAAGCAGAAGGCAAACTTCTCTCACCTCGAAGCAAATCTCTATGCATCGCTAGATGACATCCCAACATTGACAGAGCTAGCTGTCCTAACGCTCTATGGCAACGCAATTTCGTCTCCCTACATGCGGAGCGTGCGCGGGTCTCCTGATATTAACATCCTCGACCTTGGGCCCTTTCACGCGCAAGTGGTTCAGCATATCAAAGACCTTATCAAGAATGTTAACTTCCTACTTTACCCCGGACATTCTGCACAAGCTACCCTCGATGGTGCTGAATGGGATAAACCCCGTGCGATAGCTGCGGTTCAAAGTTCAGCTGGTACACTCCCCCACTTGAGTGGGACACTCACTGCATTCCTGCAGGGTGCACTGAGTGCATGGGAGCGCTTCTCGTCTGAGTTCCATGAGGATGGCGATATTGCTTCATTGTCTGCTATCGAGCGCGAGAACGCATGGATGCCAGCAACCAACGATGTCAATGAAGGTGCATTGGGAGCGATGCGGGTCCACCAGATCAAAAACCCGTCCGCGACAATGCTTCAGTTCAATGCCCTGACAACATACAAACGGAATGATACTCACGCATTCATGCAAACATTCACACCAAGCCAGCATCTATTTGTCAAGGAGAAGGCTCGTCAACTGGACTCGGCGGGGATCGAGAAGAAAAGGCGCCGGGAGCTTGTCGAGCACAAAGCACACCTAGCAGCAGTGAACCGTCAAAGGCAGGAGAAGTCAGCCCAAACTCGCAAAAATAAGAAGAATCGCCTCGACGCACTGGAGTTAATTTTGGATGAAAGGAAGCTTGAGACGCTTACTGGTCCACAGCTGGGAGACCAATGGGACTTACATCGCCGGAGAAACGAGGGCCTACCAGCTAAGAGTAATCTCGGAAACAAAGCCAATTACTTGCTAGCAGTCAAGGAGCAAGTAAAAGCCTTGCGAGAGGGAGATCAGCATGATGATCCCTTAAGTGTACGTGCTTGATTCAGAGACAGGGGCTGATTTCGAGTTCGAGTAGATTTGTTGGGTTTGTTTTGTCTGATATTTTTACTATAATGTGCTAGAGTGTTCATTACATACTATCGCTACTATACGTAGTCTCTAATAGTATAGTCTTGGGCTCAATGCGAGAGAGTGAGGGAAGCGATGAATGCTAGAGGGCGAGACACACGCCAGGCGCGACTCGTCACAGCGGAGTCCAAATTTTCAGTGGGCAAGTGCTGATGTAAGCGTAACAGCCCGAGACGCGGCATGGCCCACCCCCAGTTATAGAGTTTGTGATTCTTTGCCAGTTCGTCCATCACTATCGTGGTGCCATCCTGAGCCAGATGTCGGCCTTTTAGCCGATGTCCATCAAGTCAAGGGTTACACAGCCACTCTACAACTCTTTTTCACGAACCAGAACGATCTCCAGTGTCCGGATGCGGTTGATCTAATGCTACTCGCTGCACAGTCCATCAGTAAATCGGACAAAAACTTGTCAGACTTGTGCTACTTTTTGCCACTTTTCGCCTGGTCACAAGGCAACAACCTGGACAAGGTCACCAGTCAACAAGTAGGCTACGGCTTTTACATAGTGTACCGTACAATATGCTACTCATCCCCTTGTAAAAACTCGTACGAATGATGATCTACGTAACGATTAACATAGAAAGCACGGAACGCGTCTAAACTCTGGTGAAATTCAAGGTGTTCAGGAACTGGGGTGTGACCGTAAGTGCCTATCAAATGCGATGCACGCGAAATAGCATCTAAAGAAATAACGGCGAGATGACGCCTGCCGTGCAAATACTCGGGCCGAACAACCCACAGCCCAGTGTCCTCGTCTGGCTGATCACCCACTGTAACCATCCAATGGATCAGTGCACACCGATAAGTAGTTTCGTTGTACTTGAATGAAAAAAAGAGAAAAACGCGCGCCACCATCATTCCTCGCATGCCTGGTTCATCTGTGTTAGTGTCGACAAAGACAGTATCATGCCGAGCATACTCTCCACGCCAACAGGGGTTACATCGGATACGTTCTCGCCGCATTCCGCCAGCTCCGGAAAAGTCGCTCGGCGACCAGAATCGGGCAACAGCAGAGTGAAATACGTCCACGCGTCCGGAAAAGGTCGGGCACTGATGGAGGGGAGGTACCTCGTTGTCGGCTTGGCCGGGATTCAACTGATCATATAGGAACCGACGGATAAGCTCTGGGAGCCGGGGTTGACAGATCTCGGCGGCAAGTTCGGGGAGGTATCGAGTATAACCAAATGCTAATGTGGGGTATGAACACGAGTAGGAATGGACAGGTGGGGACGTACCTCGGCGACAAGCTAATTCAATTGAGGACATGACTTTGGGCCCGGCGACAGCGCCTCCATCATCGTCGGCGTCTTCAGGCGGGGCCGGAGCAGCAGGGGGGGTGGGGACTCCACCACTGAGGATGAAGCGTTCGTAATCCGATGTTGTCCCTGCCATCATTCCACGTTGGTTGAACGCTTCACGAGCCGCCCGTAATTTGTCGATTCGTAGATTGATTCGCAACATCTGGCTTAACGCATGGAACCGGCTTGATCGGCGCCATGGTTTCTTCACAGCCACGATGTGTTTCGACTCTGTGATCGAAGAGCACAGCCCGTTGGGGGAACCATAGAGTTTGATTGATCGAATGTAGTGTCGAAGAGAATGTTGGCGTGGCAGTGAGATAGTGTCCATGCGGACACCGGTGTCAATGAAGATCTGTCGATATTGGTGGAACTGCGCTAGGTTGTCTTCGAGCTTGACTAAATCGTCGGCTGAGATACTGTTTTGGCGTGCAGTATAACAAAAGTCGAGGAATGCCCGAAGGCATCGGACCATGTCGGAGGGAACATAACCGGCGATTGCGGGAAGATAAACCTAGAATAATGAGAATAATAGGATGAAATAATCAGCGTAACTTACCTTCATTAGAGCTTTACTGTCGTCGCCGGTCCACTGTTGAAAGTCGCGTCCGTCCGGAAAGCGACGAAGTCCAGGAAAGGGGGGAACAACGTTGATTCTAGTATGATAGGGGTTACTTCCAAATACAGATTTTCATAAAATAAGAAAACATACCGTCGGTCGATGTCATCGATAATTGCTTCACCTTCGGCTTGGCCATACTCTAGGATTAAGTATTGGTTTACCCATGAAACAACGTGATCTTTGAAAACTCCTTTGATGACTTGATGGAGAAGGTCGGGTGCGAGGAGTTGATGGATGTCGGCTCGAGGGAAGGAGTGCATGAACGGCTGGATGAATGTTAGTAACTAGCAATGAACCACCTAAATATGAGACTTACACGAAAGTCATCTCTTATACCAAAATCGTGCCAGAGAACGCTTGATTCAAGCCGAGAGCAATAAGTATCCGTTTTTTCCCGGGTTCGTCGGGAAGCGTCGGGTGCGTCAAGATTTGAGGGGTGTGCATCGCACCTGTATAACCGTTAAATACTACATGCAGGAAAGGGATAGACATACGCACTTTGGGCACCAATTTGACACGATTGCCGAAAGCCAGACTTGCTCCGGATAATCCGCGATATACGGACCAAGGCCGTAGATGGCACGTCGGAAATGGCCGTCGGGGCACTTGACAATGTCAGGTGTTGTCATGGATGGGGCAAGTGGTGCAAACGTGACCCGGAGGGCTTCATGGTACAGTTGTCGACAGAATTGCTTGAACTCTGGCCGCTCGCGTTGGCGGCACTTGGCTTGGGCTAATATTAGACTCGTGTCATGTAGTACGTGAATCGGAACATACCTCGAGGGATAGGCAAAAAAGCCACGGGCAGGACTGCATTACCGTGGGCTCGGCGAGCTGTGTTAGAAAGGTTACCTGGGGACATATATACCGGGTGGAATTCCTGATGGCCACTCGCAACAGAGACGGTTGTCTTGTCACTGCCGGCCACAACCGGCACGAACATGGAGCCGTGCGTGTTCGGATCCTCTGCAATGAGATCCTATCAAGAGCGTGAGATTAAGACAAAACAGAGACGAGAACAAGTTACTTACGCCTTGCTTCCATGCCCACTCGCCTGACATCAGATTGGAAAAAACGCGCTTGCCATCATGATTGAAGTGTCGGTAAGGAGAATAATTGATGTGCTCCTTGAACTCCGGTGACGCAAGCTGTTCATGTATCACCGCACGGGTGTCTCGAACACACAGCTCGTAAGTCTGGGACATCCACTTCGGAGGGGAGTTGGAGGGAATTGAGCCTTGATATCGAACCTTGTAGATATGCCAGGGGACACCACCGACCCCAATCTGGTCTATGGTCTCGTACATGTCCTTGGTATTTTGCCAACGAGGTGTGGTACCAAGAGGTGCACAAACTGCAGACCAAAAATCGAGCTGGGTCTCAATTTTCCGTGCCGAACTTTCAGCCTCAACATAATGATGGTAGGCAAAATCGAACTCTGTGCGTGAACGGAATGGCTGCCAAGCTTCGGGCGTCTCAGGAGGAGGAGCGGGACCAGTCGGCGGAGGTGGGGCATTCTGATTGAGGAAGCCGCCAGTCTTTGTGGTCTTCCGGCCTGTTGAGCAGCTTTGTTAGTAAACAGGACAGGAGGGGAGTAAGCACATACCTGTCAAGTACGGATGATGCTCAAAAGTTGCTCGTGGGGGGTCAATGTCATCATACTCTGGTGGAAGCTCTTCGGAGACGCTCCGATGCACCGTGTTTTGGTGGTTCTTGAGGCCTCGCAAAGTCTTGCATTTACGAGGGCAGTCGGGACATGCAAACGTGTGATGATGAGGGGGTGTTGGGGATGTGCAAGAAGCCGCTGAGCTAGGAAACATGGCGGGATTGGATACAGGGTAAGTGGGAGGATCCCGGTCAGCAGGGAGGTGACTGCGGTTCAACATGAAGGCACGAGCCGAATAAGCCCTAGTCAAATGAGCGGTTGAACGCGGCTGCCAGGAGTACGTACTCGCTTGTCTGACTACATTTCCCACTCCCACTTGGCCGTTCCTTCCCTTCTGCCCTCATCGTGAAAATTTCACCATGGCCCATACCAGTGCTGCTGCCCCACACGCCCCTACTCGTACATCAGCCCGATGCTCACAGCGTGGCACAAGCAGCAAACAACCTACTTCAGCCCCCAACACCCTCACCAGTGCATCCGAAGACCAACAGAGCCTTGAACACGAGTCAGTATATAATTTGCCATAGTAAGACCAGCTACTTACTGTTAATCCAGCGACCGGAAGCGGGCCAGAGCTGCTAGCACCGTCTCCGAAGGCAAGAAGACCAGACCCACCAAGTCTCGCAAGCGATCAGGAACAAAGACAGTCGACGAGCTAGAGCACGCACCGACTAAAGCGCCTACATCACGCGGGAAGCCTGTCCCTCCACGCAGCCCTCAGCCTGACCGAAAGCGGAAGAATCGAGACCCAGCTGGACCTGATAGGCGACGAGTCAAGCGAACTCCTGCTGAGGTTGTGGCCGCCCGTGAGCGTAGGGATGAGCTTCAGCGTGAGCTCAAGGCTCTCGAGGAGCAGGACTTGGATTACCTTGCAAGCATGGAGTTAGCTGATGCTGTTGACGAAGCCAACGACGACATGAGAACAATGCTTACCTTGAATGAAGATGCCGAGCCGGGGATGGATGAAGGTGAACATGACAGCGGTAGTGATGAGAGCAGCGAGGATGAGAGCAATGAGGATGAGGATGGCGACGGTGATGGGAGCCGTGAGGGCGAAGATGAAGAAGACAGCGATGCTGATGCCGATGAGAATGCTGAGTCTTCGGTACCTGCAAAAAAGGTGAGAGAATTGCGTGTCAGCGGCGGATTTAGCTGAGAACTCACGAAGTATGTGCAGCGCGAGAGGAAACGTCGAGTCAATGCAACAAAGGCTGCAATCAACAGCCGCGTCGAAGCTGCGGCTGGTGCGGCAAAGGGCAAGGCAGTGATAACTCCTGCTTCGACAAAAACCACACAGGGGTACGTTTGCGTCAATGTCTGGGAACCGCTGAATTAGTCCCTCACCTACGAGCAACTGTACTAGGAGGAACAAGTCGAGCATCTTCCCTACCGGCGTGAACCCGAAATGGAAGGCTCAAAACGGACCAACGGCGCGTCTCGTCAATAAGTCCCGGAAAGCTCCTGCAACCAACGCGGGAGCAGGCGTGGGTGGTCTCACAGACGCCGACGTCTACGATGCTCACCCGGAGCCCACTGGTGTTGTACAAGGCACTCGTACGAAGGGTGTGCCGTGCAATGAGGTGAGCCGAGACTCGGAACGTCTGCTCCAAGTCAACCAGATACTAACTACCTTCAACCAGCTTGTTCAGCTCGTCAGCGACAGCGACAACGCAACGGAAGAGGGCGATAACGAGCCCAGGGACAACGGGCACATCAGTGACGTGTCTGCTGAGCTCGATGCCTCAACAACGCTCACCTCCGACGCTCGCCGCGTCAAACGGCCGACCAAGGCCTCTAAGGCGAAGGTTCTGATGGTGCAGGTCATACCATCGCAAGCCACCGCCTCGCATGGTCGCACCTCGGTCAAGCCTACCAGCACCCAACGCGCCATTGCAAAGGCGTCGAAGGCGTTGAAGGCGTCAAGTACCAAGGCAAGATCGGACTCCACCAAGAGCAATGCAATTGCGCCATCCGCATCGACCTCGTCAGCCCGTCCAACGCCCGCCGAGATTGTTGATGCAGCGTATAAGTCCGATATCCTTCCAACTCTTTACGACATGTTTTATGCCTCTCCCAGCATATGGCTGGACTTCACCACTGGCCAGCACAGTGTCGACCAAGTTCAAGACCTCGTCGACATCGTCGTGCCCAACTCCGGGTACAAAGTGAAGCACAAGGACTTTATCTGGGAGAGGGTGAGTCCACTCCTCTGTTTCCGTGATTACGTGTGCTCATAACCACAAAAGTGTAATGCCCGAACGACCGAAAAGCGGTCTCTCATTGGCAAAAAGGCATTCAACATTGTCCAGAAGTTTTATTCGTCCCCGGAGTATGCTAACAAGAAGTGGGCTATCGAGCAGCACGCCCGCTGGGCTTTGCATATCCATGGTCCGTTGATGAATCGTGAGCCCACTCCCCGCGAGAGCATCATCGTCATGAGTCCGAAGGAGCCCGGCTATAAGGTGAGTGATCCACGCATTGTCTCGAGCCCCCAATCTTAAGCTGTCTATGTAGCACCCTACAGGGCACTTTGAGTCGTCGTTTTTCGTCGACCTCATGTCTCCGCTCATGCAAGGAGTCAAGGGATCACACGGGAGCTTTGGACCACCGAAGGGTATCCTTAGCCTGGCGGCTATTGCGGTGCGTACAACTATTGGATCACAGTTTGATGCTTGCCTCATTGATATATTTGTAGTTCGAGCGCGCATTCAGAGCGTTCATTACTGGTGAGGAAACAAAACTCGGTGGATTCATAGCGGATACGTACAAGTCGGGAACAGACGACTACCTCCATTCGATAGCAGAGCTCAGCGACGAGCAGTGGGAGTCAATCCTCACGGCGTGGAAGGACCCTAGACGTCCACCTGCGCCTGCCGTTGAGCCTGCACCTGCACCACAGAAAGGCTTACTCGAAAACTCTCGACGTCGTCTGTTCCTGCCCATGAGCAGCAGCCCCGCTCCTGAGGACTGCACTTGAATCGACAGTAGATGCTGAGCGCTTATGATCTCGTTACACCTAGAATTATGTTCGCACTAATGAAGAGATTTTGTACATTTACTATTACTGTTTGACGCCTCTCTACTTATCGCAATTATTACGACTTGTTTCACCTTGTCGCGCCTTGTCACGTCTTTTCTGTAGTTGACGTATCAAAGTGCACCCCCACTTGTATCGGAAACACACTTACATGGTTTGGCTTGTCACCTTGTCGCCTTTTTGGCTTGCACAAGGTTGCACAAGGTTGTACAAGCGGTCACCATTTTTTTTCAAGTTTACTGATGTCCACATCGCTGGCCAGCGCGCATACATTCAACGATGTACGTTCTTCAGACTCGTTGTCTTGTTCGAGCTTGTCAATCCGCCGTGCGCACCTCGACCGTTAGTTACGCGTCGACCGACCCTTTATGCCTCTGGCACTACGGCGCTTCAGGCTTCAAGCTTCAAGCTCCAACTTTCCTGAGACTCAAAGTTCAGGCACAGCTGGCTCATTTCTTCGATGTCTTCAGGTCAGCAACCCTGGTTCGTTCCGGTTCTGATTCTCAGGTTAATATCGGAGATTACACGCATGTATCGCGTTGACTTCTGTTCTACCTGCGGCATCTGTGGGACTACTTTCATCCCCCGAGCCGAAATAGCACCTTGGACTCGTCTCAATTAGCATCAAGGAGAACCTCACTCACCCACTTAAGGCGGCATTTGAGCGTCAATACGCTTCGGCGCTTTCACCATCCCGCGGACCGGTAGTGGGTGGTCAGCACGCAACGTACGCTCGCTCGTACACGCCCATAGATTGGCAGCTGACAGCCATTGCGTCAGGGTTGCTCCTCTGCGTGGGCGTATGTTTTTATTCTAGGACATTCACACGTCTTACAAAGTGAAACACTCCCCGAAAGAACCACCCCCGTTCCGGTTCGAGACCACTTCAGGTATGAGAAACCATGGGAAGATAAAGCAGGAGACAATCCCGCTGACTTCCATTGGGCTGTGGCTCGTTCATGTCTTCGCCGCGCGTAGGTGCGTGGGTCAGAAGCAGTAGCACTTGTCGAGATGAGAACCTAGAGGATTCTTATCGTCCGCTTCTTGTGTTCTTTCGGCCCCCAATTGAACTAAAGAACACGTAGGAGCTCCGCACATATCCTATAGGACGGAAATAAAATCTCGGCGCCGACGGTTTACTCACACTTGGATGTCTTCAATTCTTCAAGTGGCTCCGAGGACAGTGGGTATATTTGTCCTGGCATGCTTCTAACCCTTCGGGCAGCCCAGATATGGACTATGGGTACTCCTCATACGCCGATCACCATTCGACCCCTACGGCGCCAAACTGTAGGCTCGTAGGAAGAAATCCTACGACGTACGCGCCTTCACAGATCCTGTCGTGGCTCTTGCGTGGCTCGCCCGAAAACCTGCTAAGATATCACATACCCTTTTGGTTTACGCCAGCAGAGACAAATTAGGTTTACGGCGAAAAGTGTGCAGACCGGATCTGACATTGGTGCGTATTCTTAGCACGAAATGCGGGGCATCTGAAGGTATCTTCTCACCATCTCATGAGTCGTGATTGGCGCTGACGATCCACTAGCATCATCAAAGTGATCTTACGGCAAGGCTTACGCTTCCCGCAGCCTCTTACCGGGCGGTTGCTGATATCAATGTCGTGTGTTGTATGCATCTTGTGTGAGACTTCCACAAAATTTCCCATGAGAAGGTTTTCATTAATTAAGATTCCGAATATCTGGCGTCCACTTCAGTTCTGCTTCTTAGTTGGTGTTCAGTGGCGTGAATGTTTTCAATGCATGGACACGTGTATGCGTACCATGCATTGAAATATTACTCGATGCGCTCGAAGCTCCCGAAGGTGCTCTACGAGCGTTAAGGTGCGTAAGCATCCAATGAGGACCTAGAAAACCCAGACCGGTCGCCGCACGAGGAGGGAGATTTTGTTCCTGGCCAGTTTACCCCGCATTCGGCGCTACCGTCCAAGCCGGAACAAATACACCTCCAGATGATCGTAGCGTACCAGCTTAGCGGCCCGCGGGATTTTTGCTCTTCATTCCAGGCCCCGACGCAGATGACATACTTAATCATGTGTAAAACTTTTCAGAACTTACATCTTTCAACTCGAGGAAGAGCCGCGGCGATGATCGACAGAACCTAAGAAGCAAAGGCCTCACGCAATGAGCAGTTCAAGTTCAAAATCGCTCTACGTCTTCCTATTGGCAAATCGCACCGTGGCAAGGCTCAACGAGAGGATGCGGAAACGACCAATGTGCGGGGAGGTGCGGGGGTTCGCTCTCGGCTGACGTGGAAAAACCTACGCCCCCGGCGGGCCTTGCGGACCGGCGGGCCGCCCAGCCACAGGCACCGTTAAAGTTACGTGACCGCCTTCTGTGTCAAAAGTGTGGGGAATGGTCTGGAGACGGATCTCGATTCGTCTCAGCGCTCACTTGGCTCGGCTTATGGACTCGCAGCTATAAAAACTCTCGAGAGGGACCGACCATTCAGCGTTGAGGGATTCCCGCCACGTCCTCCCTCTACCTCTCCACCCACGTTCTTCTTCGCTCTCGCTCGACCCCCGTGTAGCCATGTCGGAGGCCACGTTCAAGAACATCAGGGTTTACTGTGAGTCTTTCAATGAAACATTGTAATAGCCAGTCGGCTATGGCGCTGCTGGGTGTCCGGTCGGCCCCGCACGGATTACTGACGCATGCTGTTATGCAGGGCTCGCTTTCGTTGCGTACTGGGGCATCATCCTGTTTGGTTATGATACGTGAGCATGACCTCATTCTCTGAAGTGCCTCGTTCCTCAACCTTCTGCCCCGCCTTCTAGCGGTATTGCAGGAGGAGTGGTCTCGCAGAAGTACTTCGCGGAGCAGTTTGGGCTCATCAATCCCGACGGCACTGTTGACACGGCCAGAGACAACGCACTCTCATCCAACGTTGTATCTGTCCTTCAAGCTGGAGCCTTTTTCGGTGCTCTTGGAAGTGCTCCTGTCTCGAGCCGTATTGGTCGCAAGTTCACCTTGCTGGTGTTCACGATCATCTTCGCTGTCGGTGCTGTAAGTTATCCGAGCCCCTGTACTCGCTCATTGGCTTTCAGATTACTGACGGATGCTCCCTACCCAGATTCTGACCACCGTCGCCGGTGGAAGCCGCGGTATTGGCTACATCTATGCCGGACGAATCATCTCAGGCTTGGGTATCGGAGGTATTTCCGCCGTTGCGCCCGCTTTCGTCTCAGAGTGCTCGCCGAAGAACGTCCGTGGCCGCATCACGGGAATGTTCCAGATCATGGTCGCTATTGGTGTTATGATATCCTACTTCCTGAACTGTAAGTATTCCCCCCAGGTTCATTGGTCGTGCCTATAAGGAACCTTTACTAATGGACTACCCAATACAGTGGGCGTGGGTCTCCACATGGGCAACGACTCGCGAGTGTGGCGCATCCCCTTCGGCTTCCAGCTTGTTCCCGCAGGAATGATGGCGATCGGCCTGTTGACCGTAAAAGAGTCTCCTCGTTGGCTCGCCTCCAAAGGTCGCAACGTCGAGGCCATTTCAAACCTCGCGTACCTCCGCCGTGAGTCAGAGGACTCTCAATCGGTAATGCACGAGTTTGCTGAGATTGAGGCGGCCCTCCGTGAGGAGCGCGAGGCGCGCGAGGGGCTCGGCATCAAGGAGGCGTTCTTGGGAAAGGGGAACTTCATCCGCTTCGTCATCGCGTTTTCAATTTTCTTGCTCCAGATGTTTAGCGGGCAGAACTCAGTCGGCTACTACGCACCGCAGATCTTCAGCTCTATCGGGTACACCGGCACGCAGAACTCACTCCTTGCGTCTGGCATTTACGGTGTTGTCAAGGTCGTGGCTACAACTATCTTCGTGTTCTTCCTCGTTGAGTGGTGGGGTCGCAAGATTTCTCTGTTCGTCTCAGCGATAGGCATGGGGACGTGTTTCTACATCATTGGTGCCATTCTCAAGACGCATCCTGTCGGCAGCCTTCCGACAGGCGCTAGTCCTCCTCCGGCGAGCAAGGGTATGGCTGCGATGCTGTACATCTACGTGCTCTTCTACTCTCTCGGCTGGGGCCCCCTGCCATGGGTTTACGTCTCGGATATCTTCCCGACGCGGACTAGGCACTACGGTCTGGCTGTAGCAAGCGGATCGCAATGGCTCTTCAGTAAGCGTCTTGTCTACCCAACGTCTCCCTGTCCACGTAGCATCCGCTTACCGCGATAATTTACCGCACCAGACTTCGTCATCTCCAAGATAACACCCACGATCGAGTCGAATCTCGGCTGGAAGCTTTTCATGCTCTTCGCGACCATCAACATCGGCGGCATGGCTGTCTTCTCCCTGTACGTCTTCTTCTGGTGAACTTCTTATTATCGTTTCTGAGATTTTGCACCCCGACATCGTAGGTTCCTTCCTGAGACTAAGGGACGCAGTCTCGAAGAGATGGACATCATCTTCGGTTCCGTGTCTGCAGAGACCCGCGAGGCTTTCATCAAGCAGGAAGAGCGCGGTAAGTGCTTACTTTTCATCTCACGTTCCTATCAAGGTCTCAATGCAAATTCGTTGCACAGAAATCAACCGCCATGCCGAAGACTCAACCTCTGTGCAATCCCTCGAACCAAAGGTCTAGAACGTTTGAACCTTCATGGCTTGAGTACCATACACATGCATACCTTTTGTTATTGGGATCGTTCGCTTTGAAGTAACGTAGTAATTGTTAGCTGCTGTTCTGTGGCATTATTGTACGTGTTACGAGAGACGCGTTGTATCATATCTACATAGCTACCCTCGCATTGTATATCACTGAATCGCATCCTTCATCGTAGTTTCCGGTCATGAGTAATGCAAGCGGACGAATGGCGCGAGAGCTGGCGTCCGCGGCAAGACTTAAGCGGGCTCCCAGCGTTCCCACGCTCTTCAAGCACACATTTTATCCACCCCTTCCGTTCCCAACCTCTAATGCATCCAGCACTCAGGCTAGCAGAGATTCAACAGATAATCTTCCGACATCTACTCGACAGATTCTCCTCTTTCTGGCTGGGCCGTAGGAAAACGGACATACCGCTGACAATCGGCCGCAAAGACCTAAGCGTCCTTGCGAGAGTATGCACTGCATTCAAGGAGTCAGCGCTGGACATACTATGGTCTAACTTCGACGTCCCTTTTGCCGCCCTCATCCTCATCCTTCCCTCTGAGATGCTTTCGAGGCCTGAAGGGACAACGCCTCCGTACAACGTGAGTATCATAGCCACAATCAGCTGCCTGTAGATGCTGACATCAGCTTCGCCAGACCGTGCTGACACGCCCCCTATCTTCAAGCTCGAGGATGTTGCTATACCGGTTTTCAGCCCGAATCTGCATCCTGTCCTTTTCGACATATCGCAGCCGATCCTGTCAATGGCCCAGGATTGACGACTCCGTCTTCATTGAGTTCTTATCACCTCCTTCAAACGTAGGCAACATGTTTCCGAAGCTGGACGATATACGTATCGACTCCTCGTCTATCGGCTCCTTCCCATACGAGCTACTGCTGTCTTCTGGTCTTTTGAGCGTCACCTTTTCTTGCGAAGATTACGATAAACAAGACATCTGCCAGTTCTTTATCCAGCAGATTGCAAGAAAATGTCCGAATCTGAAACATCTCGATTTGATCAGGGGGAACTTCATAGATGGTACGGAGGAACAAGCTCAAATCGTGTCAGAGAGCGTCATTTGTCTCCCTGCTCTGGCGTGTCTCTGCTGTATGAATGTCTATCCCTCAGCCGTCCTTCATCTTGCTCACCTTCCTGCTCTTACCCACTTGACGCTCGACTACTATGGCGAGGAGGGAGAGGACGATGATGTCAACCATGATGCGCTCTTTTCATTGGATCAGATAGGAGCCCTACCTTTTCCCGCACTCTATTCTCTTTCCTTGACCACGCCTTATTTGCGCGACGCCGTCCGTTTTGCGCGTAGTCTCATCAAATTCCCTCCGACGCTACGCATCTGTGTGACATATCCGGAAAATGACTCAATTGAAGACCTCGAGGATTTCTTCGCTCTTCTACAGTCGCACTCAACCTTGCCACTCGAGAGACTGACGATGTATCTTAGCGGTGCTACTCTGCCGGAAGAACTTCCAATTACTCTGCATACCATCCAGCCGCTGATGAGATGTCGCTCCCTTGTGTCATTGAATCTGCATCTAGCAAGGCCCGTCAGGTTGACGGATGCAGATATGATGTCTATGGTACCCTCATGGCCATCCCTCACACATTTCTCCATTCAAACTAGGGCAGAGTGGGCGACGTCACCAGGGGTGAGCCTCGACGGGCTATTGGCGTTTACAGTTGGTTTGCCCAATCTCTCCCGTTTCGGCGCCCCGCTATTCCGTAACCACACAGCGCCTATGCTCACTCAGGCTGCCGAAACAGCGAATGCTCAGAACAGCAAGCTCTGGTGGATAGAATTCGAGCATGATTCATTTGACGATTCATACTTGGCAACTGTCATATTTATTCTAGCGCGGACGTTTCCGAAGCTTCAATGGATCCGTCGCAAGAAGCGTGGAGATCCTCGCTGGCGGGATGACCGGACAGAGCAGATTATATCCGCGTTCCAAATGTTGCGCCAGGCCGAAAAGGACGGAGAGTGCCTTGAATGGAGAGGGTCCCTACGCGAGAGGATGTCCGGGTGTTTCGATGAAGTATAGACTCATTTCCACCAGCAGCTAGGACTACTAGTCCCTGCTGTGTATAAAACTTGGCGAAAGAATCCATTTCGTCCATCATGTGATTGTAGTTTGGTGCAAATCAAGGTTGCAATAATGAGATTACTCGTATACTATGCCTGTGCCCCCGATGAAACAACGCGCCTGTCGTGAAACACGCACATAACATAATTATTGTGCACGCGTCTCGACACCAATACTTGCCAGATTTTGTTGGTATACTAAGACATACCTTAGATACACTGTGAAAAAAGGTCAGCATTAAAGCTCAAGGACTGAGGCTATGAAGCTCGAAAAATCGATGGATTTTGTACTGGTATATATTCAATCCTTCAGGGCATCCCTCTAAATGGTATTCAATTATGCTGGTTTTTTTATGGTGTCATGCCATACATTGTAGGTGGCCTGTGCTATGTTTTTGAGGGTCAGAGCCCATTGTACGCTACGATGTGAGCGCTGCAAGTTGGGCCAGGAAAATTGGGAGGAAGCGTGACAGAGGCGTGATGGAGCTTCGTGGAAATAGCCGGTTACTGACATCATCACGATTTGAGGGTGGAGCATGCGCCCTTGGAAGGCCAACACACGCGTCGCTGAAACTCAACCTTCTTCCATGGCTCGTTCACGGCAAAACAAGCGAGACCAGCCGAAACAACGATCACGGTAATGATTCTACATCTCCCAAGCGTTATCGTGTTCTAATTCATTACACTTATAGCTCCAGCATATGGCGGGACAAGAATCAGCCTCGCAAATCACTCGAAGAAGCAGCGAACGCAAGGCGCATCCTCAATGACACGCAAGAAGCTGCACTCGTGAAGTGGATGAAGTGGTTTGGTAGATCTGGGTTTCCGATTGACAAGGCACGACTCAGGTGGCATGGGGCTGATATCTTGCGGAGGGAGCAGCCTTTAGGAAGGACATGGGAAGACAGCTTCCGCTCACGACATCAATCCGAAATTCGTCACGCGAGGGGGAACCCCTTGGATCCACAATGTGCTTAGTGAGTGATTGCTTCTGTCGCTCATTTCAATCCAATTTAATTACTTGTTGCCGCAGTTCCTTCAATGAGGGAACAGTCGTGATGCACTTCGATGAGTTGGATGGCATCTTTGCAGAGGGTGTCCCCACGCGAAATGTATTCAACTTGGATGAGCTGGGTATCCAGCTTGGCGGTGGACGAAAAGGGAACCGCTCTATTTACTTCTTTGGTGTCAAAGATACTTCTAAGTATCGTGCACAAGGTAGCAATCTAGAACTTGTGACGGTTCTTGAGACCATCTGTGCTGATGGTACTGCTCCTATTAAACCTTGCTTCGTCTTCCAAGGCCCTGGGCATTGCCCTGAATGGTATGAAGTAGATGACTTGATTTCGTACGTTGAAGCCTGAAATCTCATGGTCGTAATAATGACCGCTGTTTAGGTGCGCAACTTCTGAGAATGGCTGGACCAATAATAGTTTATGCCAAGAGTGGTTCGAGAAGTCCTTCATTCCTCAGGCAAAGGCTCACGCAGACCCGACGAAACCCATTGTGCTTATCTTTGATGGACACGGTTCTCATGTCACCTCCGAAATGGTCAGGATTGGTTTTGACAATGACGTCATGCTCTACTGCCTACCTCCTCATACCACACATCGTCTCCAGCCATGCGATGTTGGCGCGTTCGGGCCACTGAAGAAGTTTTGGTTTACGGCTATCGAGTGGTATCTGCGGTTGACAGGGCGTGAGCTAGGTACAAACCATGTGCCATTGATCTACATGCTAGCTCGACGAGCTGCGTTTCAACCAAGAACTCTTCTCCGTGCATGGTCCAAGTCGGGAATAGGGGCTAATTCTGAAGGCTTCTGCATCACCCTCCGCAATGCCTTTATACCCGCCGACTTCGCACCTAGCATCCGTACTTCTATCAAAGCCCATCTTCCAACTGGGTACCCTCGATGGGCCATTGATACTGCATCTCAGCATGTTCCCTCGGACGACACAACACCGCTGCCAGCTGATGACAGTGATTTTCATTTGGCTCAGAACTCATACTTCTCTGATCATCCCTCTCGGCGACACCCAACTCCACCTGCTACACCTCCATCTCATGCTGAAAACGGACCAGAAGAGCCAAGCGCAGTGCCTGCTGAGAGCGGGACTGAATGGCTTCGTCACAATATCTCGGAGAGTCTGGCCGAGTCTTCTAGCGCAGCCACAGCACAGCCAGCTGCGCCAACACAACCAACCACACCCACGCATCAACAGCCCCATTCCTTCTACACCCTTCAAGCCACTCTATTTCTTCTTCAGCCCCTCGTCTCAAGCTAAGTTTCACCAGCGCGAGAACGCTTGCCTTCGTTTGGAGCGCGACGATGCACGTGCTCATCGGGACGAGGCCCAGGTTGACGCGAAGATGGAAGCTGTTCATAATGCCCACCTGCAGCGTGAACTCAACTCGCACCAAACACGAAAGCCCAAGAAGAAGATCAAGAAATGGGGCCACATGAATCACCCAGAGGCAGTGCAAGCATCTGGGGAGCAGGCTGCGGAAGACACGGAGCGCCGAGAGAAGGAGGAACAGCGACAGCAGAAAAAACGGGCGAGGGAGGATGTTAGGAAAAGTTTACGCGCGGGCGGCAAGGGCACGATTTATTTTAAACAAAAACTATCCGAAATGAGAATCGCTGACCTCCAGGATCTCGCGTGGTCCTTGAATATTGACGACGGCGGCAGCAAGACAAGCCTCCACCGGCGCATCCAAGCATTCTTCTCGCAGCCTGACCACCACCACCTCCGCACAGATGCTCACTATGCCCCTTTATTCGGAAAACCCACTGTCCCTACCTACTCGGCACCTACAAGCAAACGCGCAAGCAATGTCAACGTGAGCGACAAAGACGAGGAGGGCAATGTGGAGGACAACCGGGGCTCTGAGGCTACTTGTGTACCAACGCTGCTGTAAGTTTCTATTGATTTCTCTCGCGCCTCTGCTTATGCTACCCTGTCAGTGCCCTACGGCACACTCCTGTGCCCCCGCCCTCATCGCTTGCTGTGCCCCCTGCAAGCACCATGACCAACCCGTCGCCAAATGCCGAGTTCCTGTCCATTGCCCCTAACCCTTACTCTGACACTCTGAATCCTGCTGCCGCACCTTCCCCTTCACATTGGCAGGGCTTCTCACCTGTACCAGCTGCAAATTTTGGTTCATTCGCGTTCGAGAACAGAAGATTCAGTAACCAGTAGATGATTGTCACTCCTTTTTCGACTATTATCCACTTCTTACAATCTAACAAGGTTACATTGACATGTACTACTTATTGGATATAGACTGTAGTCAATGTAGTTTTTATTGGAACTTATATGTCGTCAAGCCTTGCACATATTACAGGCAGCCGGCGCCGACAACGTCGTGCCAGCGGACGGGCCATTTCGGCGACAGCGTCGTGCCAGCGGACGTCCGCGGACGGCGCGACAACGCCGTGTCCGCGGACCGCCGGCGCGCCCATCACACACAGGATGTCAATGTGTGTCCGGCGCGCCGGCGCCGTGTTCAGCAGGGCAGCGACTGGTGTGGCGCATCGTGTCCGCGGACGGCGCCATCAACAGCGATAGACTGCAATGGGGGTAGTGAAATAGACAAGACAATGGTGCAGTTGGTCATTTGTGTCCGCGGATGGCAAACGCCGGATATCGGATGATGTCACAATCATCGGCGCATGCATGTAAAGCACTGATCGAGTCCGCGGACGATAAGTCAATGATATAGTGCCGGTGTCCGGCGCATGCGAGAGGTAGGGTGTCGTGTGCGCGGACGCGGTGATAAGGCGCTCGCCGGCGCAAAGAACACTGGGACA